CACCCACACCCCCCCACGGGAGGGACCAGGTTCCAGGGGCCCAAAGCGGGGTCTGAAAGTTTCCAAAGGGTTTTCCCTCCCCGTTTGGGGGTGGCCCCCCCCCCCACCCCGGGCCTGGGTTTCCCTTGCCCTTTACCAAACCAAAATCCCAACCGGCGGGGTTTCGTTTTGCCCCCCCCCCCCTGGCCAGGATTCCCCGCCCCCCCCCCCCCCCTCCCCTTTGGCCCCCCCCCCCCCCCCCTTCCTTCAAGGCAATAATAAGCAGCGCAAAAGAACATAATACAAAACCCAAAAAAAAATTGGAAAAAAATTAGAAAACTATGCCCACCTCTTCCGCCTTTGAGCGCGAGCGCGCCCGTCTCGAGAAGCTGCGTCCGCTCTCCAGCGCGACCGATCTCACCGACTTCACCGTGTCGACAACCACCATGGAGCCCGATGTAGGTTGCTTTTCGCCCCCGCTAACAACAAAAAAAAAGAAAGCTGGGAATCACATTGCTAATCTTTGCGCGACTGTGTAGTCGGATCCGGGCTCGGATGACTTGGCCGACTTTGAATCGTATGCGGCATATCTCTTTACTGCCTCCAGCTCGACGCTTTTCTTGTTCATCTTAGCCTTGTATTGATCCTTGTTGTTGTTCTTCTTCTTATCATTATCCTCCTTCTCCTACTCTCACTTCTACTTCTTCCTCTTCTTGGCTAACATGCTGCTCCAGAGAAACTCAGAGTCTGACACCCAGCATCTGGGACTATGTCCACCAATATGGCAGAACCTATCACCGATACATGGCCGGAGGTAAGCAATGACATTGCCAGACGAGAATTCTTTATTTCGCCATGGGACAAGCACTGACAGCCTCAGCTTATCCGTTTCCAAATGACCGAGTACGCCCTTGCTGACGGAAGACTACCACTTTTCAACATGACTGACCCTTGGCACACAGCCCGAGCAAGATCGGCTAGACATGCAGCACGCCATATTCAAAGCCTTGTTCAACCAACGGAATTACTATGCTCCACTTAAGCGGTCCAAGATGAAGCGAATGCTGGACATTGGCTGTGGCACTGGCAAATGGTGCATGGAGATGGGTAGGTAGACACCCAAACGACCAAGCTGGGCGCGGCTGACAGATTGTAGCCAAAGAATTCCCAAAGACGAGAGTGCGTAGTACGCACAAGACCATCCACTCGCAACTAACATGCTCCAGGTCGAAGGCATCGATCTCTCTCCCATACAGCCCGACGTGTAAGTCCATCCTCCAACAAAACAGTCATGTCCCACACCAACACTCAACCCCCAAGCACCCCTGGCAACGTAGACTTCTTCATCGACGACATCCGGCGCAAAGAATGGTGGCGCTGCACCCAACCCTACGACTACATCCACACCCGCTTCTCCCTCGGCATCTTTGAAGACTTTCGCGAAATCATCCAAAAGGGGTTCAACAACCTCGACCCCGGCGGATGGATGGAGTCGCAAGAAATCTACCCCAAAGTCTACTGCGACGACAACACCATGCCGCCCGACTTTGAGCTCCTCGAATGGACAAAGACGCAAGACATGGCCGCCATGCGTCTCGGCATGCCCCTCCGCATCGCCAACAAACTGAAGAACTGGTACGAGCAGGCGGGCTTCGTCGAAGTCAAGCAGGAAATCTTTTGCATCCCCATCAACAGCTGGCCACGCGACGCTCGGCATAAACTGCTCGGCAAGTTTCAGCACTGGAACATGGTCGCCGGCGTCCACGCCTGGACAGTCGAGTACTTTGTCCGCGCCCTGGGCTGGACGCCCGCCGAGGTCGAGGTGTACCTGGCACACTTGCGAAAATCAATTGGAGACAAGTCTGTGCATGCTTACTACAAGGTGTAGGTTTTCTTCTTCTTCTTCATCTTTTTCCTCCTCTCACGTCCTGTTCACCCCAGCCATGACGGTGCTAAAAGGAAAAATAGTTACGTAGTATGGGGCCGCAAACCCCTCGCCACCGAACCTCCCAGCCCCGTACCCAAGCCCTCACACTGGCCCAAGGATCCCACTGAAGACGACGACGAGGCCGACGACGACGACGATACGTATACGGTTGTGTAAATCCAGCCCTTACGACAGACGGACACATAGACGAACAAGACATGCACCGCTCATCCCCCCCTCCCAATATCCAACATCCAACATCCCCACCCTCAACCTCCAGACTCGCAGCGTTTCCACGCCCCCAAACACGGAATGTAACGCGCATACATGTAGGAAATCACACCCCCCCCTCCTATTTCTTCCCTCGTTTCTCTCACGATACGGTACGTCAATCCTATAAACACACACTCACGTCTTGATCGCGCACACGCAACTAACATGTCCCGCTAGACAGTCATCTCCATCCATCCACCCGTCCATCCACCCATCCATACCCACCCACGCATACAAAACATTTATTCCCACCATACAGCGGCATATTCATCTCGGCGTCTCTCTCCTCTCCAATCCTTTCTTCTCCATTTCCTTTTCCATCATCGTTCTGACCTTGCTTTTTGACTTTGTCTTTCATCCCCTCTTCCCTTTTCCTTTTCTTTTCCAGCCCACCCGTCTGCTTCCGCGCTTCCAAGCCGTCACCCTCTCATACACCACCACTGCCCTCGCCGCGTGGCTGGGTTGGTGCGAGTCGCGTTTTGAGGTGTCCGGCACGGCACGGCACGGCATGGCATGGCATTTGAAAGCGGCTTGTGGGGGATGAGGTGGCGGTGTGCTTTCTTGTTTTCAAAAAAAAAAAATTTCGGCATCGTCGTCGTCGGGGTTAATCATGTCGTCGTCGTCATCGTCATCGTCATCGTCGTCGTTCTTCTCTTTTCTAATCCTTGTTGTTGTTGTTATCGAGCGCAAGATGCGATGGGCCATGTGCGATACGGGATACGAGGTATTAGCGGATAGGGATTTGAGCTTTGGGGCGGGTTGTTTTGTTGTTTTCTTTTGCTGGTGCTGGTGCTGGTGCTGGTGCTTGGGGAGGTGGGAGATGGGAGGGGAAGGGAAGGGGTGGGAAATGGAGGGAGGGGAGGAAAGGGGTGGAGGTGGAGGGAGGGGAGGAAAGGGGTGGGGGTGGAGGTGGAGGTGAAAGTAAAATTAAAAGTAAAAGAAGACAGTAAAGCAAAGTGGAGAAGAGTAAAAAGAGTAAAGGAAATATACAAATGCAAATTTTTAAAAAAAAACTGGCAACCATGACTTACCAAGACCATCTCACTACCATCAGAGCACATGATACATGGCACAAAAAGACCAAACACAAAAACTACAACTGATAATCTCTCTATTCTCTTCCTGGACCCAAGACTACTCTTGCCTAATTTTCCCCTCGACCTCACCACTATGATACAAAGCCCTCCTCCTCCTATCTAAACCCCCATCAACGCCCCTTCCTAACCCAACCCTCCAACCCCTCCCTCGTCTCCGCCAACTTCCCCTCCACCATCGCCGCCGTCCCAACCGCATGCGCCCTCCCCGTCTCCAAGAACCGCTCAACCCGCTCCTTCGTCCTCACATGCGCATCCGCCAACACCGGATACTCCTTCTCATACCGCCACACCAGATCCCCCACATTCCGCGACGTAATCGGCAACACGACGTTCGCAGCCGTCAGACCCACGGCAAGCGGCACCGAGGCCCGGAGCAGGATGTTGCGGTTGCGTGTGACGATGGAGCCGGCCATTGAGGCTACGAGCACGTATAGTGCGCCGGGGAGGACGCGCTCGTTGGATTCGGGGGGCGGGGCGAGGGAGCGCAGGGTGCTGGTGAAGGAGTGCTCGAGGTTGAGGGTTTTGGTTAGGGCGCCGTCGAGGGCCGATTCGGCGCGCACGGTTTGCTGGTAGAGGGAGAGGCGGGCGCGGCCGATTTGGGTGGCGAGGAGGTCGGTTGGGGTTGGGCGGTAGGGGGTGGAGGGGGTGGAGGCTTCTTGGGAGGGGGAGGGGGTGGGTTCTTGGGAGGGGAGGGTTGGGGCCGTGGTGTCGAGGGGCATGTCGTCGTAGATGGGCTTGCGGTTCTGGGGGTTGGGGTTAGTCATGGTCGGTATTGTGGAATCAGAGGGAGACGTACGGTGATGTCGACAGCGCGCTCTTCTGCGTGGATGGTGCCGGGAGCGAAGACTGCGGCTGCGGAAACTGCGGCCATTGCGGGGACGACGAGGGCGCGCTGCATCGTGGGTGTTAGTTTTTTGCCATGTGAGAATGATGGAGGATGAGGAATGGCCGAGATCACTCACCTGCCGAAACAGCGGTCGGAAAGCCATTGTGGATGGAGCGCAATGGATGGCGATGCAATTGTCTCGGGAACGTCTAGCTTTCTCGTCGTCGTGGTGTTGGAGCTTCCCGACATCAGCGATAAACTTGGGTGCACGTGACCCGTCTTTGCCGCCAAGCTCCCATGGCTTCCTCTGCGCTTTCATGTCAATCTCCCAAACCTCACCGTCTTGCCCTCTGCCGCCATGCTCAAGCGCCTCGCCCGCGCAAAGCCCTTGCCATGGATCTGCCAGCAATGCCAATGGCAAAAGCAGCGCCCGCGCCGGCTCAACAGCACTTTGGCGGCCTCGTCGGTGCACGCCCGCGACTCCCCGGCACTGCCACAGGAGGCTGCTGCCCTGTACGGACTGTCGGCCAGCGGCAAGACAGACGATGAAGCCCTCCGCAAGGTGTTTGATAATTCCGCCTTCTGGGACAGCTTCCGGCGCTCTTCAAGCGCAAGACAGGAAAAGCCGGCTGGCATTATTGGGAATAAATACCTGACCCACCCCGAGGGCTTTGTCGATTTCGTCTCCATTACCATTCAGCGCTGCAATGCCGTGGTGCAAAAGGTGTCGGCTGCGCAGTCGACCGAAGAGTTGAGAAATATTGTCAAGGACTTGGACAAGCTCAGCGACCTGCTCTGTCGCGTCATAGACTTGGCCGACTTTGTGAGGGGCACGCACCCGGATCGCAAGTTCCAGACCATGGCCGTCAAGGCCTACCATACCCTCTTTCAGTACATGAATGAGTTGAATACAACGCCGGTGTTGTACGACCAGCTCAAGAGAGCGTCGGAAATGGCCGAAGTCTATGGGGTTTGGACCGAGGAAGAGCGCATAGTGGCTAGGATACTCATGGAAGACTTTTCAAGATTTGGCATTGGATTAGACGAAAAGACTAGACAGCGGCTCGTAGACTTGAGCGGCGAGATTGCAGAAGTGGGCTCACAGTTTGTCGAGGGCATGGCGCCTGAGACACCGACGTTGAGATTCAAGGCGCAGAAGTTGAAAGGGCTGGACCCGAACCTGGCAAAGTCCTTGACCAACTGGGGTGAGACGAGGATATCTACAATGCATCACGAGGCACAGAGTATACTTCGATTCGTACAAGATCCAGACGTGCGGAGAGAAACATACATGGCTGTACGGACAGCCAGTAAACCCAGCATAGCCCGGCTGGAGAAGATGCTGAAGTTGCGCGCAGAACTCGCGCAGTCGTCTGGCTACGAAACTTTTGCACACATGACGTTGGAGAACAAAATGGCACGCACCCCAGAGGCTGTCAATACCTTCCTCAACGCCCTCTATGAAGACAGCCGGCCTGGCGTCCTGGCCGACCTGAACGAACTAATCGACTTGAAGAAGAGCGATGCCCACCAAGACAATTTCCCCAACCGCATCAACGCCTGGGACAAGTTTTACTACACGCAAAAACTCCTCGCAACCCTGGAAAATCAATCAAGAATCCGCTCTGCCGATCCTCTCTCTGCATACTTTTCCGTCGGCACCGTCCTACAGGGTATATCACGCCTCTTCGACCGTCTCTACGGCGTCCGCTTCGTTCCCAAAGAGACGCAACCAGGTGAAGTGTGGCACCCGGGTGTCCGACGCCTCGATGTGGTCTCCGACACCGAGGGGCACATTGCAGTCCTCTACTGTGATCTCTACTCACGTCCCGGCAAGACGCCCAATCCCGCACACTTTACGCTCCGCTGCAGTCGGGAGATTCTGCCCTCTGAACTGGCAGAAATGAGCCACATGCAACACCGCTTCTCGTCCCCCATTGAAGCAGCCACAGACGGCATGCCCGTGACCTTCAACGCAGAGCGAGGAAGCTACTTTCAGCTCCCGACCATAGCCCTCGTCTGTGACTTCAGCGCCTCCTCCGCCGGCCGACCCACCCTCCTCAACATCCACGACGTACGAACCCTCTTCCACGAAATGGGCCATGCCCTGCACTCCATCCTCGGCCGCACATGCCTGCAAAACGTATCGGGCACCCGCTGCGCAACCGACATCGCCGAGCTCCCCTCCGTGCTCATGGAGCACTTTGCCTTTTGCCCCCACGTCCTGCGCCTCTACGCCCGCCACTGGGAAACCGACGCCCCGGTGCCCATGGCCGCGCTCGAAAAACGACTGGCGGTCGACAACCGCAGCGCCGCCGCCGAACTCGAGAGCCAAATCCTCCTCTGCATGCTCGACCAAGTCTACCACTCCGCCCTGCCCGCTCACCCAAACTTTGACTCGACAGCCACCTACCACGATATTTACAACCGCTACGCCTCTGTTCCCGAACCCGCGGGCACCGCCTGGCAGGGCTTCTTTGGCCACTTGTTTGGCTACGGCGCGACGTATTATTCCTATCTTTTTGACCGTGTGCTGGCCGCGCGGATCTGGGAGCATGTGTTTCAGCGCGATGGGGCCGAGGGCAGCTTGGATCGCAGGAATGGCGAGTTGTATAAGGAGGAGGTGTTGAAGTGGGGTGGGGGGAGGGATGGCTGGCAGTGTCTTGCGGGTGTGTTGGGCGAGGGCAAGCTCAAGGAGGGTGGCGAGGTGGCGATGAGGGAGGTGGGGAGGTGGGGGGTCAGGGATGGGAAGTGAAGGTTGCTAGGGTGGTTTGCATGGTGGTGATGGAGTGGCTGGGAAAAGGTTGCAGTGGCGAACCATGTTTGGCACGGTTGTATGGTATTGTGATACTCATCTGGCCATGACTATTTTAATGATATTGATGCTCATCAGGAGATTAGCGATTTGTAGTATATCACGCTCAGCATGGATAGTGTAAATAAATAAGTAATTAAAGCAATCTAGTCCTCGCTAAGGGGGGAACTAATGTGGACGAGATGGATGGATTTGTAAATAAGTTGTACGTGTGTTCAAGAAGATGTAGGAGAGGAGGAGGATGGAGCATACATGGCTGTGTTCGGCTGGTAGAATCATAAATGAAACGTGTAGATGGATATGGTATGGTTTGGTATATCGTAAAACTCTAGATCACAAACATGATGATAGCCTTACCCTTTCATACACATCGAGTACCCATACATACCCCCGAACAATAGTCACAGCAAAGGTAGCTACGAACCGGGCCGAATTCAGCACATGGCTCAAGCGGTTACAGGTAACCTGGGACGTGCATGGGGGGTTAAGAATTCGGACTTCAATACCTCTAGAACTACAGCATCGTGCTACTATATATACTATATTTCGTACGGGGGGATTCCTCTACAGTATCGACATTGTGTCTATACCGAATACTTCCACCCCGGGAGAAGGGGTGGACGGGGCAATAGGTGTTGCGCAAAATGTACACACTGTGAAGCCTCACTACATCCCCAACCCTCACCATCACCCCCCCAACCCCGTCGCCGCGGGCCACCCCCCACCCCCATCGAGCAGCGCAAACCGCGTGAAAGCCGGCCGCGCGGTCCCCCCCCGCGAACCTACACGCGAGAAAAGAAACTAGAAGTCATCATGTGGCTGCGCGACCCTCGCAACTACCGCGAAGTGCACGAGTCCAGGACGCAGCAATGTCGCGAGGGTCTTTCGTAGACTAGAAATCGTCGACCGCCCACGGATCTCGAGGCCGCGGCGTACTTTCGCATCGGGCATACGACGGTGGGCGAGTGGTGGCGCAAGAGAAATCGGATTTTGGCGGCGCGGAAGGAGTCGAGGACGAATCGGAGGGGTGGGCAGAAAAAGGACAAGGCTGGAGTGGCTACGGTGCTATGAAATGGATGCTTGCAAAGTAAGTTGATGTTACTCTGTGGGGATTTCTTTTTCTGGGATGATTTGGGGGTTAACTTTAGGCTGTTAATACTACACCAGACACAACACCAGATCGCTATATCATTGAGCCGCGACCTCAATTCCACAGCGCAAGTTCACCTTGATACCCAAACACGGCCCACGCCTTTTCTACCACCACACACTCCTATTCACCTCCTCCCGCTCCTCAAACCCAAGACCAATACAATAAACACATGACATCATCTCCAAATGAACCCCCCCTGCCGACAATCCCAATCTCCCATCCAGACATAACCGTCGCCCGGCACCGCAACTACCGCCCCAGCCCCTACCCACACATTAGCCGGGCTGGCTGCGCATGCGAAGACCACATTTGCCACATCCATCTGCTCGCCTGGATCCCAGCCAGCCTGCGAGATCATGAAACCCGCATATAAAAGAAACCCCGGGGAAAGAAGGCTGTGCACAAAAGCTTACTGCAATGCAACCTCACTGCTGAACTACCGACATGAAAGACCTCTCGCCCTTCCCCGCCCCCGTTCTCCCCGGGGAGTCGGTGGGTGACACGGCGTCTGGGGTGCATTCACTGGCGTATGGTCCTGTTGGCGTTTGTGCATGTGAGGATGTCTGAAGGGGTTTAAATGGAGGGCTAGAGTACGATAAATGAGCATGTGTTTCTGGTAAACTGTGTGTGTAGATTAGTGCGTAAGTTGGATTCCTAGGTAAAGTGACCCACCCATCACAGCACCAGTATGGAATAAAGCCCCTCGCAATAGCAAATCCCAAACTCCTTTATACATGTCCTCTTTCTTCATCACTACTTTCCCGATATACAGTGCACATCGTCTTTGTTCTACAGCGTTTGCCTCGCGACTATTTCATCATGAAACTCTCCGCCCTTCTCCTGTTCCTCCCCGCCCTCACCTCAGCCCATTGTATCGCCCAACGCGTCCGCGTCAACGGCCAGGACTATGGCCAGGGCAACGGGATACGCGTTGCCGGCTCGAATAATCCAATCACTGATGTCAAAGATGGGAATCTTGCTTGTAACACTGGCTTATCTTCGAGTAGTAAGGTATGCAGATATCTTCCTCCTTGCCCTGGTCTGACACCCATCCACCCACCCATCCATCCATACAATTATCCAACCCAAAGTCCCCACTACTAACACATCTCCCTTCCCCCCCAGGTCATCGACGTCAAAGCCGGCGACCAGGTGGGCGTCATGTGGGGTCATGTCCTAGGCGGACCGCAATTTGCAGGCGACAAGGACAATCCGATTGCGCCGAGTCACAAGGGGCCTACGCTATTCTACATGTACGTTTATATCCCCTCGTACCGTGGATCCGATTCCCCGGTCGTTTAGTAGGACATGGCGGGGGATGGGGGCGGCGATATCATACTGACATGTAGGGCACGCACGACAGGGCCAAGGTCGATAACGCGGCCACTGCGTCACCTGCTGGACTCAAGTGGTTCAAGGTGTTTGAGGACGGACTCGATGGCGTTGGGAAATGGGGTGTGGATAGGATGGTATGTCCCTCCCCTTTTCTTCCTTGACTCTCCCACACCCACACACCCAAGACCCCCATCCACCCCTCCTGACCCCCCACCTTCACCCCAGATCACCGCAAACGGCTGGCAAGACCTCACCCTCCCCCCCTGCCTCGCCCCGGGCGCCTACCTCCTCCGCGCCGAAATCATCGCCCTCCACTCCGCCAGCAAGCCCGGCGGTGCCCAATTCTACGTCGGCTGCGCCCAGCTCAACGTCTCGGGTGCCGGGTCCAGCACTGGCTCTGCAACGGTGTCGTTTCCGGGTGCGTATCAGAGTGCGGATCCGGGTATTTTGGTTAGTATTTATGATAAGAATGGGAAGCCGGTGGGGAATGGGACGCCGTATAAGATTCCGGGGCCGGCGAAGATGGGGTGTTAAGGGGAAGGGAAGGGGGTTGTTTGTGGGGGAGAGAGGACGGGTGAGGAGGCTGGGGGTTTAGGGGTGAGTATTTTCATCTGATAACAACCCAGAAGGTGGAAAAGTAGAGTTGAATGCAATTTCCACTACGATTGTATACCCTAAAGCCTGCCATTTCATTGCATATTGTGGGGGGTAAACGTCCTCGCACTCGCCGTCCTGACATCTTCACCGGCTTCAAACCTGAAGGACAGTCTGGAGAACACTCTACACCCAAACAACCTCACCTAACCTCATATAAAACCCCGGATGTGTGTGTGTTGAGGGTCATGGACTAAGCAAGGAGGATTATAAATTGGTCTTACATGCTTGGATGCTTGGTTGTGTTTTGCTGATATGCTGTATTGGGTACGCTGTGAACCACCATACCACCCTTACTACATCTTTCTTCCATCCTTCCCCCCAAAAACACTCATTACACAGCGACTCTCCTCCCCCTATCCGACACCCCCGCCTTCAACCGCTCCACTACCTCCCGTCCCAGCCACCTCAATCTCCCATCCGCCCGCCCCGCCCGCTCAGCCCACTCAAACACGCCCCTCAACTCCCTGAGCTCCTCCACCTTCCAACTGTGCGACAGTCTGCCCAGCACAAGTCTGCTTTCCACCACCGTCGCCCCCGGATCCAACCAACTCCTACTGTGCTGGTCCACCGGCAGCACAACCCCCTTGTCACTGGGCGAGATGTACGGCGTGAGCGCCGGCAGCGTGAAGATCCAGTGAAACAGCAATTGACTTGTTCGGACGGATTGAGCTTCATTGAGCGCGACGAGGGTGGCACTAAAGGCTGTGGCGTAGGTATCGTGTGCAGATCTCCGTCTCACGTAGAGAGTCTGGTTCCGCTCAAAGGACTTGAGGTGGAGTGCGTTGTAGACGAAGTCGAGCGTTGTGGGCCAGTATGTCTGATCAGCTGTCTCGATGCGTTTGACGAGGTGTAGTTCTGGGAGGAGACAGGGTGCGACGAGGGTTTTGCTGTGCGTGTTTGTGCTACTGGTACTACTGGTACTACCATCCTTGAGATGGACGACAATGGGCATGGAGATGGCACGGCCCGTATCCACATCGCGGACCACCAGGCATCTGGGCTCAGCAGCGAGGACCCAGAAGTAGCGGAATGCTTGGAGATGGGCTTTCGAGTCCTGGACATCGGAGGGGAAGATAGGGTAGAAGGCACAGATCAGGCTTGCAATGGCTTTATTCGAGCGACTGAAGGTTTGCGTACCGCCTGCAATGAACAGCGCGCCAAAGGCCATGTGTGCGGCTAGATGGGAACCATAGGGTGCTTCGGGACCAACTCTGCCGTGCAAACCACGCAGCCGGCGGAAGACGTCGAGGTCGCCTGTACCAGCCATTACGGTGGCTGCTGCAAGAGCAACGAGATCTTGGCAATTTCGTACAGTGTTTCGGCAGAGGCGCGAGTCCCAGCGAAGAGCTGGTAGCTTGTTAATGCGTATCAACTGGTCTAGGTACTTGAGTAAGAAGTCCCGGACTTGCTTGTCGCCGGTCCCTGCGTGCTTGAGTGAGACGCTCCACAGGAGGCCGGTGACGATGTTGAAAAATGGCATCTGTTCGCTCCGGAGCTTGTCGATTTGTTTGAGATCATAGAAGACGCGGTATTCAACGGGAAGACTGTTGATAACCCAGGTGTCGTTGGCTTCAATGCCGTCCCACATGATGATGTGCTTGGCCATGATACGGAGGAGGAAGATGTCTGGGCGAACATAGTCGAACTGGGGGAGGGTATCTGGTATGTCAATCTTACGCGCAACCGACTGATCATGCGTCTTCATGAAGATGAGTGCGACTGCTATCACGGCTCCAGCAGTCGCTTGATCGAGTATGTGCACAATGTCTACCGGTTTGGGGGCGACTGCAACTTTCATCAATCGTTCGACGATGCGCATATCATGTAGACCTCGAAGGTCTTTGCCTTTGCCCAGGTTGATGAAGCCCAGAGCGAAGCCCGCAGCCAACCTGTAAGCTTCATCTCGGAGTGTGTCTGGAGGCTCAGATGGATCTGGAACATCAACGTGCTCAATCTCCGAAAGCATGACTTCACTCATCCGACGATGCTGGGTATTGTAGTAGAGCAAGCCAATACCCATGAGACCTGTTGTTTGGGTATAGGGCGACAGGTTTAGTTCCGCCGCCCCTTGTGGCAACATCCTCGTGACATGTACTGATAATAGTCGAGTGACGAGAGTGTCCATGGTGCCCATGAAGGAAGCTGATAAGCCAAGTAGCAATCCGACAGAAGTCATGGTGTGCTTTGGTGTCAGGTATTTAAAGGACAGCCACTTGGCGATTGTTCGCAAATGGCCGTTCAGTCCAAGTCCTAGCAGAAGACCGGCGTGCTTATTCGTCAATTCCGATGGCTTGTTGTACATGATCCAGGATGTGTCGATGCCCTGAGCATCACGCGAGATACTCAGACCAGCAGCCACACCTGCGTTGAAAAACGCCCAAAAGTACTTTTCTTCGGAAAAGCTATGGCGTTCGGCAGTAACGACATTCCCCATAGGCTTCATAAGGCATGATGTCGAGAAGCCGTAAAGGGGGTACTTCTCAGTCAGCAGCGGTTTCTTACTACTAAACTTGATCATGGAACTCCCGATGGGCAATGAGAATGTGCGGACCATGACCCATTGCATGAGTGCTTTTTGCCCTTCTAGCATTGCTGCATCGTCACCCCTGCTATCAGCTCTGTATTCTGCGACCGTTTGCTTCAAGGGTTCCATGAGCGCGTAGGCTTCCATGAAACGTCTGTCCTCGCGGAATATTAGTCGCGTGATATAGTGACGATCAACCTCGGCGGTTGACTGGACAGGCTCCGGGCGATCTGCACTTTGACATATGGTATGCACATCGCGTGTTATGGCCAGAGGATGCAAGTTGCCAGCTGTCAGAATGAGATGGCAGTCATGTAGAAATTCGCCGCTGGGAGTGTGACTAAGGTCAAGCTCTTCCCGTTCTATCAGTCTCAGTAAGGAGCTTGACCAAGTGGTGGGTGGATTCGCTTGACATCGTGTTATGGCTTCCATAAGAGGTGCTTTGGCAACCTCTGGTAGCGTAGACAGAACGTCTGGAGTTATGTCGCAAGACTTGATCAGCTCAACAACCCTTTGAGGACTTGAGTTCGGGTCTATATCGCGGAAGAAGGTGTGTAACGCAATGGTTCGTGGCGTCACCCCAGCAATGATCTCGTCGATGTTGATCGACGAATGTGGAGATGCCTTCGACTTGCGGATGAGCATTGCGAGAGTGGGAAAGGGCGCATAGCGTCGAGGACCGACAACGGTACCAAGCCACAGCATGATCGAAGGAGGCGTATCCCAAGGTTGGGAATGTAGTCGTACCTTCGACGTGAAATTGGATTCCTCGTATGCCCAATCATTGGCCGAACCACCGTCAAGATCGAAGAAGCCGCCCTGGCGCCAGTCCCAGGCGTCCCAACGAAGCCAATGTCCAATCTGAGCCAGCAGTGGAGCAAGATTGCCGGTTTGTGTACCTGCGAAATTGTGACACATCGTATCAAGTTTTCGTTCTTCGCGGAAAAGATGCAAGCAAACAACAATCTCAGAAAGCGATGAGATGCGGAGATCTTGCTTCTCAGATGGAGAAAGACGCCGCCAGCAATCATTAGTTGCTTTGCCAATGGGCGACCGAACATACTGGCGAGCTATCTCCATGCAAGTGAGGAGCATCTCGTCTTTCGACTTGATTTGCTGTGCGATGACCGGCATGTGGTGATTCGAGGATGAGCGCCTTGCAGGTGGGCTCATGGCTGAAGTCGATGGGTTTGAATGCAACGCCCACGCCCACGGCGATGTTTGCCAGCTCTTCATATGAGACTGAGAATTCTGGCGAGTACACATCAAATGCCACGCCGAGTCTTCGTCGTCGATAAGCTCATCTGGCTTGGCTTGACTGGACGGACGGCCTGAGCTTCTTCGATTATTGCGCCTTGTACGATTGCTTGATTTCCCCATCTTCTCATCTACAAACGGCACAGCCAGTGAAAGGACAGTGGCAACAAAAGCGTACCAGTCTCGAGATTGGCTTTCTTGATTCTCTGTTGACAACAGCTTGCGAATATTCCACCAGATCTCCAAGAGGAAGTCGCCGGTATAGCTTGGGAGCACTGTGCAGAGCACCCGGAACAGCTCCGCGACCATCCTATCTTCCGGAGATAGGCGGACTTCAAAGCGATGCCTACGATATTCTCCATCGATCAATTCGAACTTTCCTTTTGCCCCGAGGGATACGACATGTCGCAATGGTTTAGTCGCTAAAATGGTTCGCTTGGAACCAGCAGTGGCCCGGGTCTGATTGTCCTGTAAGATCGCATATGGATCGAAAAGTCTGATTGGACCAAGACTGATTTTCATGGGCAAGTGACTACCCCAGCCTGCTGTTAGTGACAGGCAGGGCTCGTGAGGTTCCGTTGAGGTAAGAAGGGCTACCCGTTCTACACAACCATCACGAAGTTTGACCAGATCTCGAGCGCCCTCAAGTCGCCGTATCCCCACATACCTAGGCACACATGCGTATCGCGGAGCAACGATACTTGATTTGGACTGAGTCGCAGATGCTGACGGCGATAGTCGTTTCCGCGTAACCGCAAGCTCAATCTCTAGAGGCTCTTGCAGGGAAGAGTGCGAAATGTACAAATACAGCTTTCGCTCATGGAGTGTGGCTGAGTTGAAGGGTGCATTCAGAGCCACAATTTTACATTGGGGTTGGTCCTGAATCAAACGATCAGTACAGCGACCAAGTCCAGATTATGATTCCTTACCTCTGGGTTGGACGGATTGCTTAATGTGAAGAGCCCATGGCGTAGATATTGCGTGACTGGTATTTCCGCAATCACACTTGTGACGAGCTCTTTGTGAAGGCCATCTCCAGGCCTTGGCTCTGCCGTACCATCAGGCGGTGCGAACAAATCATCAAGTTCGTCATGATCTTCTATCGTGTCGAAAGTGTCTTCATCCATTGTGTCTTCGAGGGGATCATCTATGGATGCAGCCCCCAAGCTCATCCTGGACGTGATACTGCCAGGAGTAGATGCTCTGTGACGAGAATGTGAGAACGCACCGCCCAAGCTCGTTCGATCGTGACCCATTGACCGTCGACTTCGCTGGCTAGCCCCAAAGCTTGTTGAAAAACTACCGCCAAGACTGTTGCGAGACGTGGCCATGTCCTGGAAAGCCGACTTGTCGAAACTGGTGGAGAGTTCGGCTCTCGAAAGTAATGAGCTCACACGCCTCGACTCCTTTGGCTGTCGTGCCATGTCGGAGTCGGGATTCAATTGAGAAGCGAGCGCATCCTCGACTGCTTGGTCTGACAAGCGCTCCTGTGATTGTGTGGCCTGCTTCAATGAAGGAGGTTGTGTCTTGCTGCGTGGAGCACCACCAAAACTCTCTCTTAATCTGTCAGCTCCTCGTGAGGCTGGGGTGGTTGCCCCAGTACCTGGCGCGGTGGCACCATGGGAGCTGCGCCGCCGATGCTTGTTCATTGGGACATGGGCGTGCTGTTTTCGAGAAGTTGATATTGATTTTGGCTCGAGGTAGGCTGCAGACCAGATTGTAAATACATTCGTCTCTGGATTGGCCGTGATGACCAGAAGCAGAGGTTTGTCATTGCCACTACGATCAAAAAGCACCTCATTCTGTGGAGAAACATACACGACCTCTTCGGCCTTATCCATGGCCTCCAACTTCCTGTGACTGGATCCATTCGTAGTCAGCAAGCCAGCGCGTTCGCCCCCTGCGATGACATTAACGACCAAGCCTAGTTCTGAGAGCGGATCTGTGAAAGAGTATAGCCTCGGAATTGTCTCTTGATTCAGCGCCGTCACAGGATTGATCATATCATCCAGGAATGTAGCTGGGCCGGATAGGCGTGATTTGCCCGGTCGCGAACCGCCCAATGAGCCGGCATGACGATGCAATGTCGGGGAGAAGCTCTGGGAGAAGCTCTGCGACAGGAACGACTGATTTGCCGTGAGGAAGGAATTGGGCGGGGCAGACGGAATAGAAGGACTTGAAGCAGCAGCGGTCCGAGGAGACGCGAGCTTTCTTTGAACCACCAAGCCACGCGCAGCAGGAAAGGCCTTGTCGACCTCGAAGGGGAGGTTCACAATGTGTGTAGCGCCGGACAGGAAGAAGACATGTGCTTGCGATCGCAGAAAGACGACGAGAGCACGAGACCGAACCTCAATGGTGGGCGGGGTGGTGTCGACGGGGGCATTCGGGTCCGTGGCGGGCTGGGTGCCCTGGGTCAGGAAGCTCTTGGACAGGTCCTGGCCATGATGTTCTGCAGCGACTCCAGCAGCCGCCTCGGTGGTGGTGGCGGCGGTGGCGGCAGCGGCATGCGAGGCTTCTTCGACGGGGAACCAGGTCAGCAGTGCCTGGATGACCTTTTCCTTGTCTACCTCGAAGCTGAAGACCTTGCGGATGACGCCTCCTCTCGACCAAACAACATGGTAGTCGGTCGTGACCAGCTCATCAATGGGGCTGTCGCTGTCGGTCGCCTCGGCGGTGGTGAAGGCCTGCCAGGTATAGTCGCGCTCCGAGCTCTCATGGCCGAGAATGGATTCGTGCACCAGATACTGTAGGCCGGCAGGCTTGTGGACCCCGATCGAGCGTAGGAAGGCCATGCGGAGGCTCGTTTCGTAACATGGGGAAAGAGTGAATTGGTGGGGGGGAAGGTAATCCAGTATTGGGGGGGTTAGGGGGGGGGGGGGGGTGGTTCGGGGTGGTGGTCTTAGTGAGGGCCTTTTTTTGGGTGAGTTTGTTGTTTGCGCGGGCGCGCAGTAGTTTGGTCGACAGGTGTGACGCGCTACCTTGTCGTGTTGTATTGTGTTGGGTGGGTAGACGCGCCTTCCCCAGGAATTTCGTCCAAATCGGAGCTCCGCAGCACCGTTCTGAGCTTCCTGCCCTGACTACCGGTACTATTACTACCACCACTACTATTACCACCACCACCTCCTCCTTCACCATCACCATCTAGCTTCCGAAGAAATTGCCACATATCGACCCATCCCACAATCCCTGCCACATCCTCAGACCCTGCAGCAAAATACTACAACGAATCCATCCATCCCAGCGCGCAAGCTAGCCTGGCGACCTACCCAACCATGAAGAAGCCCATTGTCACAACCAAGGGCAAAACAACCCAGCTCAGGTACTCAACACATCACACCTTCTCCAGCCTAGCTGGGCAAGCACCATCACTGACAATCATCCCAATTAGATATGAGCTCCCACATCGTGTCCACGCCTCAACAATATATCCCCTCAAAGCTCCCAATGGCTCCACCATCGTCCTCTACGCCTACGACTCGGGCGTGGGCGTCCTGTGGAGAGGGGGCCGCCCGCTGAAGAAGGAGGCTGCACCGCCGTCAAAGCAGCCGTCAAAGCCTGCCAAGGTCAACGGCACAAGCAACGATGCCATCATGATCATCGACTCCGACGACGAGGAACCCGCAAAAGCTGCCGCGCCCACCTTGCCAGAGGCTGAGTTCGAAGACGAGGAAGAGGAGCTCGATCCTGATCAGCCATACCCATCCTTTGTACAGCAAGTGCGCATTGCGCTCAGCACAGAAGTCTTGCATATCACTGTTCCTCGAATACCCACAGTCTCAACACTGCGACCGGCGGACACAATTCCTCCAGTGTTCAGCAAAAAGATGGTCTTCACAGTCGCCTGTGCAGACTCCACCATAAGAGTCATCACGCTGCCATTGACTCCCCCGCCAGAGGCCGCAAAAGAAAAGCCTCTCAGCCCCAGGTCACAGATCGGTGAGGAGGTGTTCAAGGTGCACGGCCACCAGAGCGTCTTGAGGGGTGTCAGCATGACGTGGACTGCTAGGGGAGAGCCAAGGCTGCAAGACAGAGCAGAAGACGACATGGACCTCGATGAAGAGCTGGATGTCACTGCAACGCCCGGCCGTCGGCGCCGCAAGCAGCAGCAAGGACGATCGCACTCCAAGCCACGCGATACCGAAGGCTTTGATCTGCTTGTGGCATCCCATTCTGCCGAGCTGGGAGGCCTACTCAAGATTTGGCGCTTCGAACTGGCGGAGGATACCGTGCGTGTGGAACATCCAGTCGTACCCTACAGAACGCTCCACTTGCGCAAGCCAGCTTCTCGGGTCGCGTTCAACACCGCGCAATATCCGAAACAGCGGCACTCGCAATTACTCATCGCCGACTCGGCCGGTCTTGCGCGCATATACGATCCATTTGTTCCTCCCAGCCAGAAGCGACGGGCAGGTGGCGGTCAGAACGAGACTGGCTCCTTCATCGCTACCTTGAGATCAACATTCGAAGGCGTCAAGAACCCTACACTTACGCCGGCACTACTTGCCAAACGCAAAGCCATCCTTGATGCCGCGTGGACATCGGACGGTAATCACATTCTCGCTCTGCTAGCGGACGGTGAGTGGGGTGTGTGGGACGTCGACAGGTCTGGCCCGAGTCCACATGCAGATCCTTCAGCATTTTCCTTGCGTGGATTCGTTGGAACCTCTGAAAAAGAGAGCAGCACCAGTGGTGTTGCCAGTCCTAAGCGTGGGGGTCGCAACATGCTTGCGCCCATGACGCCCAACACTCGGCGCAGGAAAGAGGAGACGTTGTTCCAAGGAAGCTCCTCCAATGCGACCGTAACACGAGGAGGTATCTCGGTCGCTTCCTCTCCTTCTACTAACAGTGGATCAAGCGAAGAGTCTATCCTCATATGGTATGGGTCTGAAATTCACAGGATAGCCGATCTTGCCAAGTTCTGGGCTCGGGCAGTGTCTGCTCGCAATGGTACTTCATTGTCCGGCCCGGGTCTGCAAGTACAGGATGTATCACTCTTCGGAGAAGTCATCACGTCGGTCTCGCAGTTCGACACCACCGCACAGGCGTCACGCATGGCTATAGCGAGAGATGTTCTCATATCAGCTGAACACCGCCTCATCATCACCACGAGCACAAGCCAGCCTGTTGGAAGAGATCTGAACGCCGTATTCGCAAAGGAACAGAAGGAAGAAGAGCTCTCAAGGAAAGCCGATCAAGCTCTGCTCTCCCGTGGCGAGCTTGATCTCGGCGGCATGGACAGACTGCTCGATAACATGGAAGGTAAGGGAGGGGATTCCAAGACTCTGACTATGGGCGGACCTCGAAAAGTTCTATTCGCATCCTCTGCAGCTTGAAAATGGTCTGCACAGGAACAGCATTCGACCATATTGCACTCTCGGAGGAAGCTACCATCTCACGAAGAGGTGCAAGGCTAAGATACCCCAACAAAGCGTGAACTTGTCTTAACCTCAGCATTTAGCTACTAATACAACGCCCAAGTCTCGCTCCCAGCACAACCGTCCAACATCTCCCATCTCCCATGTCTAATCCCCGACCTCCCCCATCTCCTCTCAAACCCCCAATTTCCCCTCCTCCTCTTCGCGGCCTAAGGTGGAGCTCAGCGACCAGACCCATTCCTGCTGCTCAGTATAGCCTCGCGAAACATTAAACTCAGTACCCCCCCAAAAGAACCCAGTCGCCAATACCTCTTTCCCGCGCGCTCGTTCCCCCTAGTACCCTCGCAAGAGCGAACGGGGCCTCTCCTTTTGGAGCGGTTAAACTAAAGCCGTGGGTTGAGGGCGCTTTTGTCTGGATTGCTGGGGGTGTGGGTACATGCACGTCTTCTTCTCTTTTCCTCTTTTTCCTTTTTGTGAAAAGAGGAAAAGAGAAATGTTTTCCCCGTGTAGTGTTCTCAGCTGCATGTGCCTAGCCGGTCTACGCGCAGTGGATGTCGGGTGAGGATGGTTTTGCGGGGCTGGGGATGCGGCGTGGTGCAAATCAAGTGGTTCTGGCTTTATGCCTGGGCTGCTTTCGTTTTGTGCTGCGTTTGGGGCGGATGTGCGACATTTTTTTGTATATTTTAGATTGGGGATTTTGTGGTGGTGGTGATGTATGTGAAGTGAAGACCGGGGAGTTACAATCTCATTGTCAGCATAATGGCTTGTTTTGCGTGCTGCGTTGTTGTCTTGACTTGGTTCTTCGTGTGTGTATATCAAGCCCCTTTTCTTCTTTCTTACCGCCCAACCAAGCCCTCAAACAACTCATCCCTCTTCCTCCTCACCTCATCCAACCTCACCTCCAACTTTGCAACCTCCTTCCTCGCCGCCTCCCTCTCGGCCGGCAACCCCGCAAACTGGGCGACCTCGCTCTCGAGGCCCTCGACCCTGGCCCTAATCTCATCCAAGGCCTTTTGCTGCTCCAGCATCTCGACAATCGCCTCGGCAGAGCCAATGTACTTTGAGCCGGGCGTCATGTTGCGGTTCTGACTCGCCTGCAGCGCAGCAAGTTTATCCTCGTGCTCGCGAATCTTGGTCTTGAGGTGTTTTGTTTGGCGCGTTTGATCGGCGGTTTGGCGTTGGAGGGAGGGTGGTGTGGCAAAGGCGGGGTTCATGGCGAATTCGTTGAGTTGGGCGCGGAGCAGGGTGTGTTGTTTGGAGAGGTAGGCTTGGAGGGTGTGGATGTGGGCGAGTTGGTTGGAGAGGGTTTGCGAGGTAGTGGTGTGTTGGATGAGGGCGTGGGCTAGGGTGGAGGGATTCGCGGTCGGGGTGTTGAGGGATACGGCTGTGGAGGCGAGGGCGTGGAGTGCGGCGGAGCCTTCTGGTGTGAGGTTGGATTGGAGGGTGGAAAGGATGCGTTGGTCGTCTTTGTGAGTTTTGATCTGGATGTTTGTTGTGAGCGGGGGAGCTGTACGTAGAGCTGGCTTTATCTAACATGTGTGTATGTTTTCTATGCGTGTGTGTATGTAAGGCCTCTCATACCTCGTCCAACTCCTTCAATGCCTCCCGCTCTACGCGATCTAGTAGTATTCGTTCCTCGTCGGCCCGCTCGTTCGCCATGGAAAGCTCGCGGAGTGCCTTGAGGGTTTCCTCGTTGCGTTCAAACGTCGGTACTGTGCGACCTGAGTATTTATACGAGAGCCAAGAGTCAATATGTGCCCAATCCTGGGCCTGGGCGCGTTGTTGTCGCGCTTTCGAAGGCGAGAAGAGGTCGGAAGGAGTGAGGTTGTCCATGGTGAACGGTTTGTTTACCATGTGATTCGGGGAGCGTGAAAGACAAATTGCTGTGGCAACCACTTAATCAAGAGGACGAAATATCCCAGGTGATGTAGATTGGCTCGCTGTATATCCAGTATACAGCGACTGTAGACGACCGCAGTTGGAGGATGACGGTGGATGTGGAGGTTTAGCGTGAATGGGGTTATCGATAAGCCTAAAGTCTACCACAGAAAGTTGCAACTGTCAACTGCCGAAGTCGGAGTTAGCGCCGTTGACTATCAATCGAGTTGCCATTGCAGTCAAATCTCACTGAGAACTTGCGCAACACCTTTCCACTCATTGGTTTCTAACTTTCTCTGTACATTGTTGTCAACTTCTCGTCACAGCTCACCGTCATGGCGCCTATAGCGCTCGAAAACAATGTCGAAGTAGGCGAGAGTCTTCCACCAGCAACCGAGCACGTGAGTCAACCATCGTTTTCTCAGCAACACGATATATGTAGAACTCTATTGAAGACTGACGTACCTTAGGCCGTCAGTGTCTCACTGCCAACCTGGAGAGCAAATGTGGGATACGAAGAGGGTGAAGAATGGGTCGTCAGCAAGATGGTGACTGGTTACCCCAGGTACGTGGTGGCGGACTGGATGCAAATCACGCACTGATAGTGAAAGATTTTTCATCCACAAGCTTATCCAGCGATTTGTAACTGCAATATTGGACAAGTATGGGCAGGAGGGTGAAGGAGCCATGCTATTTCCAACACATGCCACCGCCTCCAGATGTCGAGACTTTCTACTGCGGCAAACTCCTGATCTAGATGTTACCCAAGTGCGGATTCTCAACTTTGTTCCAGCTGCTGAGAAGGCTCGCACGGAGGAACTATCAATCATTTCACCGAGAGTCTCGGCTGTATCGTTTCCCCAGGCCCGATTCAGTATCGCGAAGCAGTTCTGGCAACACTCCGGAGACGGTGTGTCCAGTCGGAGAGCGGAATACTGCTATCATTTGTTCACAAAGGGTGTACTCGTAGAATCCTCTACCTTGAAACAGCCCTCTAGGGCCTGTAAAGGACCAAAGCGGTATCGAAAAACGACATCTATTGATCTTGGAGAGTCAGACAATGATACGGACGCGGCTGCTGAAGTTCAAGATCCCACTCAATTTGTTGAAGAACGCTTCGGAAGGAATCTGGACCTTTCAATGACCAAGAATGCAAAGCTGGCGATACGAAGACGTATTGCGGGATCGTTGACAGCAGATGTTGCCTTATCAGAGGCATTGACTATGGAGAAGGATACCACCATGACACGACAGGTCGCCGATTTCTCTGAAGATGACGTCTATCTTTACCCGACTGGAATGAGCTCAATATTCAACACTCACAGAAATCTACTGAGGGTGAAAGGACCGCTAAAGGCCATTGTCTTTGGGTACGCTTCATGTTGCCCGCAAGTTGTGATTAGCACCCTAACAAAAATAGTTTCCCGTACATTGACACATTAAAGATCACTGAGAAGTTCGGAGTCGGCTCTCTCTTCTACGGCTTCGGCTCCAACGAAGAGCTTGACGATCTCGAAAGGCGATTAGAAGGCGGTGAGAGATTCATGGCTTTGTTCACAGAATTCCCGGGGAACCCACTTCTCAGATCCCCAGATCTAGAAAGAATACGAAGGCTAGCAGACCAATACGATTTCTACGTGGTTGTTGACGAAACGATTGGCAATTTCATCAACGTTAACGTTCTCCCCTATGCCGATGTAGTTGTCAGCAGTCTCACAAAAGTTTTCAGTGGTGACAGTAATGTCATGGGTGGAGGGTAAATAAACCCTCTCATAATTTCAAGGCGGCCAACTAACATGAGCAGTCTCGTCCTCAGTCCTAAATCCAAGGACTACGCCCTTCTAAAACGCGCTTGGAATGAAGACTACGAAGACAATCACTGGGCAGAAGACAGCATCTTCCTCGAGCGCAACAGCCGCGACTTTGTCTCCCGCATCGACCGCATCGGTACAAATGCAGAAGCCATCTGCGAAGTACTCTCCTCACACCCTCGCGTCAAGCAAGTAAACTACCCCAAGACCAGTCCTACACGTGTCAACTACGACAAGTGCCGTAATCCCAATGGCAACTATGGTGGTCTACTTTCTGCGACGTTTTACACGAGGGATGATGCGATTGCGTTCTTTGATAACCTGGACACGGTCAAGGGACCAAGTTTGGGTACAAACTTTACACTTAGCTCGCCCTATGTCATTCTGGCGCATTATGGGGAGCTGGATTGGGTATGTTTTGCTTGTCCGACGGCGTACTCGTGCGTGCTGACATATTATTAGTGTGCGAAGTGGGGAGTCGAAGCAGATCTGATACGGTTCAGTGTTGGACTCGAGGAGACGGCGAAGTTGGTGGATACTTTCAGGAGAGCGCTGGACGCGCTGCCATAGAGAGACAGGTTTCAGTCGGTGTGTGTGCGTGGTGAGTCATAGTAAATGAAGGCCCGCAGATATCAATCAAAGCAAAACGGTTTGGACAACACCGAAGATGAAAGAGGTTACTGGCGTGCATGTGTGAGAATACCGATGAGTTGGAATGCGTCGAGAGCCAGTTGTATCTACGTCGCAGGATTTGTATATTTATCACAGCACAGAAAGAGATCATCTGCCGAAAGTTGCGCTAATCGCTACCGGCGAACTGTTAATAGGACTGATATAGCTGGTATTGACGATCATATAGCTATATCGCTATTGTTAATGGTTCAATCTAGTCATGGTTTTCTCTCTGAATCGTGGCAACACCCGTCAATCCTCCCAATCCTTCAACTATATCCACCAGAACGGAGCACCTAGTTTGAAAACGGCCATGTCCTTATGCTACACAGACATTGCCAATGTAGGCTATTGAGCGGAGAGGAGACGTAACAACCTCCGTCTCAAGACATGTACACGTACCCAACAATGGGGCATTGGGTATCCATCCCCATCCTCCCATTCAAAATCCTTCTTATCACAACATCTTCCAACCCCCAACCCCAACCCTCCCCCCAACTACTCCATACAGAAGGATTCCGACTGCTGCGACAATCCCCCCGAATGCTGCTGGAGAAAGCAGTCGTCGTATTCGCATTTGATACCCGTCTTTGCTTGCGTTGCTTGAGCGTGTACGCATTGAATCCCCCTCGTTCCCTGCGCGTAGCTTGCGTTGCTTGCGTTGCTTGAGTCTGCTTCGCATTGACTCCTTCTCGTTGCTTGCGTTGCTTGAGCTATCCGCATCCAACAAGCCTACATTGCTGCGTACCTGCTTCGCGCGCTGCTCGAGCCCGATTCGCATGGAATCCCCGCTGCTCTTCGGTGCCTGCGTGGCTTGTGCTGCTTGCGTGGCTTGCGTTGTTTCGAGCTAGTCCCAGGCCCACGGGGTAGACTTTGGCCAGAGTTGCGAGAAAATGGGGTGGGGGGGGAGGGGAGGAAAACCTGACCCCCTTTAGAATTTTTTTCCCCCTCATCCTTCCCCTTCCTCACTCGTGTTTCGGAGCCGAAAGCTTATAGTAGAGACTGGATTATCAAGAGACTATTTTTTATTGGATTTTTTTTTCACAAAGCTGCTACCGTACTACTAGACTATGTGTAATAATAGGCGTGTGTGCACTGGGTGGGCAGTGTTTCTTCTTCTTATCAGAACTAGGGTAGATGTTTATATTGTTCGGCACGAGATTGTGGGATTTTTCATGCTACCGGGTACTGAGTGCTGACGTTCTTTCAGTGCGTGGATTATCCTGGATGTCGATCGGGAAAGGTCAGCGTGGGGGTTTCGTGTTCGACTACACTGGGTGTACATTATCCGCCAAGATGATTGTAAAAAAAAAGGCTGACCAAGGTGCACAAATTGTGATTTGTTAGGACTAAGGAGCCGTTTACACGTAGCCTACCCGATTGACAAAAAAAAAGGCCAAGTCCGAAAAAGTAAGGAAAAAAAAGCAAAGAGAGTCTCATGCACAAGAATCTTTTTCGCAACATGTGTCTACATTATTCGGTACATTCGGTTCAACCTTATCCAAGATCGGCGTGACGTACCGTAGCCATTGCGGGCAAATCTCATGCCCAGTTCTTGGGTGTGTGGGCCGGGCCTGCGCTGTCTCTCTGATCATGACGATCCTCAAAAGTCTTGTGGCGCGGACAGCTCTGTGCCATAGCGAAGAGTGATGGTAGAATTGCGTTGTGAATATGCTCTCGTCAAACCTGCCATTGTTGCTTTTACGCCGCGCACCTGCAGGTACAAGTCTATTAGCCCTAGGCCTCCCCTATTATGATGCATACATGTAGGTACCCCACCCTGGCCGGCACACTTGCGTTAGGAGTATGTTGGTACTGGCCAGAGTCGGGCACGTGACGGCGTTCGCATTCCTATCCTGTAGAGTGTATTCAACTTGCGTGGTGATATCAAATATGCTATACTCAAGGGGCTGTCAGCTGTAAGTACGCACTGGTCCAAGACGAAAGAGGAGCCTTGGGCATGGAGCTTTGTCAGAGCAGATACAACTAGCGTGGCTGGTAAGCATGAACGAGCCTGCGGGTGTTCTGCGGGAGGTCCGCGGTATGGCGGGTACGTGCTGCCGAATGGGTGTGTCCAAGCTTGAAAGGCCTTGTATTTGCTCGGCATAATAACAGAAGAGTGCAGACATGCATAGCGAAAGATAGGGAAGGATGGTGGTCCTGTTAGGCGTAGACGCCGTAAAGAGACGGTGGCACTAACCATGGGAATGGTACCTATGGTAAGAAGGTTGTTCAAGAACAGCATTTTCTGTCGACATATCTGAGATCAGCGAATTTTTGTAACATTAAGTATACAATTTTTTCTACCTTTGCGTGGATGCAACGTCGTGGTCTTACCCCGGATGACAGAGTTTATTCTCCTAGCCTTCACGTAGAGCCGGCAAGCTAGTCATATGACCGGTACGAAGAATCAGTCAGGCTCTTTTTCCTCATTGGATATGGCTTCTCAGTCGTGTGTCATGACAATGCTGTGCCACATTGGCTAGATACTATCATCTTACATAGCAATTTCAAAGACGTGGAGTATTATCCCCGCGAAGGGAAGAATACTCTGGGTTGCCTGGTCTACCACAAGACCATACAATCCTAAAATCGAAGGTTTTCCGAACAGTTGATTGATTCGATTCGCTCGTACATGATCGTGAATCGTGATTCTTGACTGCCTCTGCCTTGCCCCTCATCTCATTCGCAGAGCACTCTACTTCTTCTAGGCCCTCGGTGTGCCCGTCAGGAGGCTTTCCAATTCGCAATCTTGACACGCTGCCCCACCCCCCCTGGAGCGGTAGAGGGGAGGGCTACGTCATGCTGCCTTTCGCCCAGTCATCACGCAACCCAGGTAACACAATGTTGAGGTGCTCAGCGCGGGCCATAGTCTGCGCGAGACATGAGATGCACCGCTGGAAAAGGTGTGCAATGTGTCGGCCACCACGGCCACCTAGCCAGCTGGTAGCTGCTTGACGGGTTTCTTAACATCTGTTTGACTTGGCGACTCGATTTTCTAGAACAAGAAACTATTGTACCTATGGGGCAAGACGGCCAATTTTCTGTCGGGGGTATTGTGGACTCTTCTGATTGCGTGAACTTTGTTAAGCACGACGGAAGATTGCCGGTCGGCATCTTCCACGCGGGGCCGCATATCGGCTGAATACTGGTTGGAGCATCATTGCGGCTACTGGGCCAATCAAACCGATGTATTGAGTGAGTGAAAGGAGGGCTTCAAGCCAGCGGGTACTACGCAGCACCGCCATCTAGGCCTCGTATTGATAGTACCAGTAAATGGAGTAGGTAGCCCAAGTACCTACATACGCCTAGTTCAAGACGAGATAGCTCGAGAGCGGCCGCTAGACTGTGTTGATGCCTGCAGGTGGGAGGAGTGAAGAAGGTGGTAGTGGTGGTGGTAGTAGTGGTGGCGGTAGTCGTTCTAGTGGTTCCAGTGGTGATAGTGGGTGGTGGTAGTGGTGGTGTGCCGGCAGAGGCTGAAGTGTCAAGGAAGCAATGTCCGCCCAATAAAGACAGGCTTGGCAGACCATGGCGCGACTGCCGCGCTCGCGCAGAGAGAAGGGGTCCAGCCTCCCAGAGTGTCCAAGTCTCCATCTCTGCCTGCGCATCCATTCATCTCATACATACCGTACATACCGTACCCTCATGCTCTACCGACCGACCCAAGAACAGCACGCACAGCCGTGACCCAGGTCCTGGTCTCCACATGGATACCAAAAGGCCTCTCTGCCCTGCATACCTACCGTACATGCCATACACTACCTAGGGCCTAGGGAGGGGGGCGGAAGCATTCATCCTGTTCGCTCTGCAATGGCCGTGGACGGCCTAGGTTTCCGCACTGCACAGCCATATCACACTCACCCCTCAGCAAAAACTATGGAGCCCCCCATGGACCTCCCCCCCCCCCTTGCCGCATGCACGCCCTGCTCTTTGGCCTAAACAGCCACATGCAGACTATCATGACGTTTCCCCCCATGCCTTCTAGAAGCTGGAAGCTAGAAGCGGTGGCAGCAACTAGAATCACGACCACAACAACAAGAACAACAGCAACAAACAACAACACTGAACTGACACAGGGGCGCTGCCAGCGTCGCTATGGCTTCCCGTGCCTACACAACGGCCCGCTTCAACTCTCAAACTGGCTGCACGTGCTCGGCTGCTGTTGTTGCTTTGAAACCAAAAATAGAGTCACAGGATGAGCTGTGCATCGGCATAGCGTGACACGCGAGTTCAGCATGTGTCGAGAGAGCGGATACGGTTATTTCCCAAGCGACTCTGTGGCGCTGCCAGCCTTCCCTGACAACGATGCTTTGGCCGTGGAGCAAACGACGCAGTATCCCTGGTCCGATTACATCTCACCTGAATCGCCCCTTGTCCTCTCTATGGTCTATTGTCGCTGCCCATCCTAGTCTAACGCATAGATGCCTGACAGGGCGTCACAAACCGCCATACTGAAGGCAGCATAGTCCTCAGGCTCAAGTGCGGCACCCTCAACTTAGCGCCACCAACCTCTCTTTGGAGGAAAGGCAGCCTGCCACGCTCAGCAGCGCCGCGTCCACGGCTTTGCAAACGCCATGTCCGGCGAAAGAAATGTGTTTCCCCATGTCGCACAGGCTTGCCTAGTCTCTCCTCGGGTGCAGTGTTCACGGGGCGACGTCGACCTCGTTTTTTTCCTCATAGCCACGTGGGAAGAGTAGATTCTTTTTCGATATGGTCATGGATCTATGAGCTTGTTCGCTCAAAGGTTACAGAAACAGAATGGCTCCCTTCTCGTCTGGAGCGAGAACACCAGCGGCCCAGGCACCCATCATCAGTGCACGTCCTACGACTAGTCAACGGTCGGGGAGCATGGCCTTGTCGATGCTGGGATCTCAATCCTACGAGTCCCCCAGCCGCACAGCCGGGAAATGCGCTCTCAGCTGTTGGATCATGAAGCTCAGATGCTCAGTACCTAGAAATACAGGTATCCCCCATGCAGGGGCGTAGACCACGACCAGACATCGAGTGCAAAACTACGACACTGCCTTGGGATGACTGTAGGATCAAGTTGTTATATCACCTTACTATAATCTTCATTCAAGAAGACAAGTGTACGTCTACCCTACTGCTACCTGAAGACCTCAAATGCTATCCTTCAACATTTGATCATGACCCATCGGTCCCCCAAATATCACACACTACGGAAGTCGACAACCATCTCACGCAGACTTAGGAATCGCGCCGATCAAAATCTTGTTATTCAGCCTCTGGAATATCCACCTTCAAGGGTCATTCGTACGCGCCGTGCCGCAACGTTGCCCCGCCATAATCACCTTAATTGTCAGACGCCAGAACCTGAGCCATCGTCTTCAGTCTGGAAACCAGTAGAACTTCCCGAAACGACCTCAGATACTGCTTTCGCATACTCGGCCCACAGTGATACTGTGCATTCATACGATTTCCTTGTGCGCCAGCCAGTCCAACTTCTCGATAGCGTCTCGCCAAGTTCTACTCCAGAGTCCCAAGCCGGCTCAAAATTAGCGTCCGCACGCAACTATCACCTCCAGGAAGTCGAGGAATCGAGCTTTTATCCCTCACCCTTACAGTCTGTGACGGGTAGTCACGACTTCGAGCTGCAATCATCAGCAGACCGCGAACAGCCGCATGACCCTTTCACCGAATTGAAAGACATGAGGTAAGATCATTTATGCTGTGTGAGATGACAGTTCTAAAGCTTCAGCAGCACTCTAGGCTTCATGATGGCCCCTTCGCAGTATGGTATGAACCACTACGGTTCTGCACCAACCTCTTACTCGCCAAGTTACCCACCTCAGCATTCCTACGCAGAGCAGCGGTCGTCCGCGCCTGGACCATACAACTCGTCTTATGCCTCCAGTCCATCACTTGCTAATGATGTTCATGCCAGAAGGCAGGAACCACATACAGTGCTACCGCCATATCAAACTCCACAGTCGTTGCCTCGAAGTACGTACCAACAAGGGCAGCCCCCGGAGAGTATGCGTGGAGGCTCGGCTCCCTTAGCGTCTAACAACCACAACTATACTTACTCCGCACCTCCAAGCAGCCTTCCCAGCCAACCCCTGGGCAGCAATGCTTATCCACCGTACGTGTACATGGGGAATGAGGGCCGAAATAACATGCTGATGTGTCAAAGACCACAGTTATATCCACCAACTTCCTATGGCGTTGCCGATTATCATCCCCTTCCAACAATGTATCCACCATCATCAACAACACCGGCTGCCTACCCTTCATACGACGCTTCTCCTAGCATACCACCACCCCATGGAAATCCCGTTCCTGCCCTCTCCTCGTCTCCAGGAACACAGAACAGTGCTGTAATGCCCCGCATATTGAATTCCCGACCAAAGCCAACTTGTTGGGACCATGGCTGCAATGGGCGCCAATTCTCCACATTCAGCAACCTTCTACGTCATCAACGAGAGAAATCCGGAACAGCATCGAAAAGTTTCTGTCCAAAATGTGGTGCCGAGTTTACACGTACGACAGCTAGGAACGGACATATGGCACACGATAAGTGCAAAGTCAGACGAGCGTCAGAATCTGATAGGTAAATGCACGACTGCAGCGTCGTGAACCGGAAAATTGAATCCTACTGACTTTCTTGGGGGGCTGTCTGTGCAAATTGTTTGATCAAAGTACTATAAAAAGGTTTCCGAGCATAACAAAGGAAGCGTATGGCAAATCGCTACCTGAGTCACTCTGGGCGCAGCCGAACTTGGTTCACAAGCTGCGAAGCTTGGTACAATACAGAAGACGCACGAAGCAGCTACGACGCAGCATTCGAACACACGAAAAATGTCAACGAAGCGTCGATACCTAAGATCCGGTACTATCGAGATATACAAGCCCCATGGCTGCTGCAAGCTCATTCTACGCATCGTCGGCTGCTACTCGAGCAGACAAGATGAGATTCGCCCGAAACGATCACCACTACAAGTGACTCAATACCCGTCTCAAAGCTTTTGCAGCGACTCGGACACCGAAGATGAGCATGACAGCGTAATCGAGCAGCGTTAAGCCGTGCGCTGAGTACATCTGGTGATCGGATGTAGGCTACGGGCGGCCACCATGAGGGACTGCATGATTGTAGTACTGGTGACAGTGGATCCGAGTTCTTTGCTCGTTTTACAAGGGAATGGGTGCGGTTATTTGCAGATACAGTAATGTTGCGGGAGGATCAAAGGAACCTATGAACAAGGCGCATATAGGAGCAGCATCCTGAGACACGCTGCGGCTCCTGCCTCATAATATTTCCACATCTGTGGTTCACACCCACACTACCAACATCGTAGCAACTTGAGGAATATCCAACACATCAGCACAATATCAGCCCATCCATTTGACCAGCTGTGACTCTCCTAGTCTTGCGTCTGTATCACCTAGCTATAGAAGAATGTGGAATCGTCTCGATTTGCAGCGCATGGCTTGCGGCCATGAAGATGAACAGGCTACAGGCCGAATATGGAAACCCTGCTGATTGCAGGTTCTCTTTCCGGCTTTACATCATGGCGTGTGCGCTGTGCGCCATGCAAAAATTCTCACAATCTCTGGCCTGGATCGGATTCGTATTGGGCGAAATCTCAGACGGTGAAGCGCATCGTCACCCAATGCACGTCTCATTTGCCAAGTCTGCCCGGCAAGATTTTGGTTTAGCTCTGGACGGGTCCCGTTATATTTGAGCGAAAGATCAAGCTAGCGGGCCGTTGCTGCCACCACCTGGGCCGGAAAGCCTTGCATTATGCGACCAATAACCCAGTTATGGACCGCGGATTCCGAAGCGATCATAGCCGGGAGAGGGCACTGACACTTCCGACCAGTTCAGAGTCAAGATCCATGATCCAGGCTACGAATGTGAACCATGTTTTCGGGTTGGTCTGGCAGCCGGTGGTCTCTGCGCTGCCCCCATCAACCCCCCTTGCTCATCACCGGGCAGCGGATGCATACGCTACTGTATGTTCCTGGTCCTCTTGGGTACACCTGGCTGGCGGACGTCCGACGCTCGCGCCCATCAAAAATTGAACCCCTGTTGGCCAGTGGCTCGTATGGTTGGGGGGAGGGGGGGCAAGAAAAGGAGGGGGGGAGGGGGGGAGGAAGACAGCGACGTGGATACCCCAGTGATGAACAAAGTACACGTGCATCAGCTTACTTGTTGTGGCAGACCTTTCGTATTTAGCTAATGCCAGTGGTCGATTGAAGCTTCAGTAGGCACGCCAAGATATCATCGAGGTCCAGAGGCGTGTCCACCCCACGTCTGGGCGGAATGTTGCGCCACGGCGTGGATACCAGTACCGTCTGCTTCGATAATCGAAGGGGTTACCCCGTCGTCGACACTTTGCGATGTCTGATTCACGTATTACACAGTCCAGAGGTCGGCATGTGTCATGTCACTGTCCGTACACAGCGCCAGCACCGAGATGCAGTCTGCATTACACTACCATCATTGTTACCCCTCATATGCCACGCCCGGCGGCCCCAAGTTTTTAGAAGCGATAAATTAGCTTAAGGGTAGGGGTCGAGCTGGCCAGACTGCTGTCCGCGAAAGAATTACTCCGGGCATGCGCTCTCAGTCCATCGCTTTCCTTGAATGTTCATGACGTAAAGAGCCCATTTCGACAAATCCGACCCACCCTCAGTCACGACGACCGATATGCCTGTGACGAGATGTGGAACGGGGCTTACAATCTCACCAGGATGATCCAACGGGGCGCGGCTTTGCGGGAAGGATGAGCTGTCAGTGGATGCACGACGGCATTAGGGAATGAATGGGTTGAGGTTCCGAACGCTCATGGTTGTGAACGGGGCACGTGATCATATCTATTCGAACGAAACGATGCGTTCACGCTATCTCGCGCATGCTTTCCGAAAAGAGCTGGAGATGTTGGCCGAGCCATAGCCTGTTGCAGCCTATTGCAGTTCACCCTAACCCATCCCCGCTGAGGTCTTGAAGCTCAACGCGCGCATAATTTGGAATCAGATGAAGCGTGCTTCAGGCAGCCAGCCTAGCCGAGATTGTGCGCAATACGATCTCCGGAAAGGCGCAAGATGGTCCTATGGTAGGTTCGATGGCCGGGACAGTGGCCTACCTGGGTAACAACATTACCTGCGGCGCAGCACTCGTCTAACTTGTGGCCCCCATCCACTGACAATCATGCCTCCACCAGTTTGAGTCGTACGTTTACTATGGGGGCCTGAGGAAACCCCACACCCCCAAGCCTTTATGGAAAGTATGTGATTCGCGGAAATAGGTCCAATAATGCCAAGGTGTGCAAAGATACGTATCATCGCATAAGGCTGTCGATTCGACAGTGCACACAGTGTGAAATCGAGAATCAAGTGGGCCGTGCAAGCTCGGTTCAGAGTCTCCGTGAGCATCGCAACTCGACTCTTCTGATCAGCCAATCGGGACGTAAATCAACTCTCCCAGAAGATCACTGAAGCATTTGGTTCTCTGTGGGGCGGCATCGAAGCGATCTCGAATCAAGTGCCATCTCTAGGGCGAGAAGCCTCACGCCACAAACAGCCATGGGCCATGGTAGGCGGCAACATCCTACTTACAGCCACCTACCTACTCTATCTGCAACTTGACACACCAACACTATCAGGGGGTGACAGTGGACGTTGCAGAATGTGTGCAAGGCTGACCTGCACAAATCCTTCGACCCCAGTGTAATGGTTTGCAGTCAGCGCGCGCGTGCTCAACTTCGCCGATTACTGCACGAGGCGGCTGCTGTGTCACCTTTCCAGAATTTGGGCAGCACGTCGGTATTACCTGCCTACAACGGTATTACGTTTTGGCGAAGCACCAGGGCGTGGGGTAATAATACATTGACTGCCGCAAGCAAGGCTTGTTGCAGATGGCGCTGCTGGCCGATATCAAGTGTTGATCATGAAGGGCCAAAGGCGTCCATAGAGTCAGTTTTTCGGATGCATGCAGGGCAACAGCTTACAGCCTCTGCCGTAGACAGGGGCCATATGGCTTACATTCCACGCTTCATCGTGGGCTTCTATGCTCTAGACAGGTAAGCTGTTTCTGTTTCGGCACGGCTCCAAAATGCCCTCATGCCGCTCGTAAAGGCAGTGTCGTTGCAATCATTGCCCGTTTGACGAAGGGTTGCCGTGCACACCAGCATGGTAATCATGCCTTGTTGTCTTGATCATACAACTCATGAGACAATCCTCTTTATTCCTCATCGGCCGCCATCCTCTCAGCTGAATTACTAGGCCGAAAGCCAAAACCCACGACTGACCTCGCCCTACAATTAAGCATCGATGTTTCGCCATGAGACTCAAACGAACTATCCCACAAGAGCTATCCACGAAATAGGCTTAGGTGATCCCATCCTGCCGCTTGAACCCCGTGATGATCTGAGATGAGCCACCGGGATATAAATGGTGAAGGATGACCCCTTGGTTAGTAGGCCGCAGGGCGAGTTCGGGACAAGAGTAGTAGCGAGGCTGGGACTTGCAAGGCGCGTGTCAGATCTACCTACCATACATGCTCACTCGAGGACTCAGATCTGAGTTGTGACACGAGAGCAACATCACGCCATCGCAAAGTGCTGTTTGTCTTCGAATCGGGTCTTATCCGGACATGTGTGTACCTCATCGACTTGCGACGACACATTGAGGTGAGCATATGGGCCCCTCCCGGGTAGCACGATCGAGTACGATCATAATCAGCTGACATGAGCTAGCGTGATCAATCTGAATTTGTAAAACGGCAGTTTATAATGAGATGACAGTCTTGTTGTTTGCCGTATGCGAAGTTCTCAACTTTGGAGGATGATCATACCACGAAAGGGATTGAACATGAGTCGCGGGATCAAGGTTTTATCAGTCAATGTCTTTCCCGTGCGACTCCAAGTCTGATTTTGATTGAAGAAGGAATGACTGATTTACTATCAGACTCACTCACAATCTTCGTTCACACTGAACGCTATGTACGATCTCAGCCTTGCTTCTTTACTCCGGGGGAATGTGTTGCTGCGTCGAAGTTCGAACGATCACACATAAGAATTATGGCAGGAACAAATTCTATACATTTAAGAATCAAGAGTCATTGTCTATGCCCAATTGTGACCTTCGAGTTTCGCAGTGCTATCCATGCGTCCATACTGCATATCACGTGTATGACGATGGTTTCGAGTGGTATGCCTAGGTACTTACTGCATCCAAATTCCGTCTCACAAAACGAGAATTATTTGAAGCCTCATGAGGATCATTGAGTACTGGCTGCGTATAGTAGCCACATCAAGGACGGTACAAGGGCGGTACATTCGTGATGGACGGTGCATCAATGTAGCGATGATTCATACCCCACGAAAGCTTGGGCCAACAATGACTCTACGCGACTCCATACTTCATCATCCGACAGCCACATCACCAGTTCGTATCGTCATTGCAGACATCCAACGTGCACAACACTTCTCACGCACTAATGCATTCACTTCATTCGTGAGCGCCTCTTTGGCAGATTCACAAGTGGTAACGAATTGACCACAGCACGAAGGCTCACATCGTTTGCACCACATACCCGTCAAGATGCTTCCATTACTGTCGCAACTATTCCGGACGCACTACTCACACACGAATTCGAGATCTTTACGACATATAAAACATTCTATTGCACGATTACAGCGGCAGCACGCGACCTGAACACCTCGCGACTACACGCAGCGACTACAACACAACCGATACGCCACGCACTTCCAGGGACTGCACCCGAAACCAACATGGCTTCTATATTCACATTCGATCCCGATCCTCCGCGCGTATCATCTCCATGGGCAACACCTCACTCTGGAGACCATTCCGAGACTCGTAAGCCTCCCATCGGTGCAACGCCCCTTCCCTCCAAGCCTAGCAACCGTGGTAGTGAAGAAGATGGGAGTGCGAAGACACAGACGAATGGTTTGGACTACACTGGTATCAAAAGACTAGAGGCTGAGCCTCAGGAAGGCCCTACAGAATACAAACTACACTTGCTCCTTCGACGAAGAAGATCATTTACCCGCGCCAGTACGGGTCAGCAGGGTCATCATGTATCAGGATCCCTCAGGAGAACCGATATTCCTGTCCCTGTTCCTGCAGGCCGCAGTGTCTCTGACTCGGGCCTGCTCCCTGAAACCCCTCCTCTATTGGCCTCCACGCAGTCAAAGCAGCATCGTCTAGAACAGTTGACCACCCAGCTATTGTGGCGCCTGCAGCAATCCTGTTCCCACCACATTTCATCCTCAACTGGTTCGATCATGCCACATTTCCCGGATGTCTCTCAACTTTCCACGCCTGAGATGCCTCAACGACTCCTACCAGGACTCGAGGAAAGCCAAGGAGCTCTGTACGAGATCGGCGTTGCCGACGACGGCACCATTGTAGGTCTTGCGGAAGACGAAATGGAAGAAAGCCTGAACAACTTGCGCGCCATGGCTGCAAGTCTAGGATGCGGTGTCGAAGTCCAGCGACGGGTGCCTGTGGGCGACTGTGAGTGGCTGGACTATGCTGGTACTCCACAGCAAAAGACGCAATCGTCTCAACTCTGGGTTGCAGAAGCCTTGGTTCGCCCCGAGCAGCATCTTGTGGATTACACGAGGAAGTTTAGAGAGAATGCCCAGCCTGCAGGTGTGACACCCACTCCAGGTAGGCTGGAAGCTGACGGTATCATCAACGAGTCGCATACGGTGACCGAACAACTGCGCGTTTCCGTTACAGGCGCAACCATGTCTGGAAAATCTAGTTTGCTGGGCACTCTATCTACTGCAACGCTAGACAACGGACGAGGTAAGAGTCGCCTAGGCTTACTCAAGCATCGACACGAAATTGCCTCAGGAATGACCAGCTCGGTCACCCAGGAACTCATAGGGTATAGCGATGACATCCAGGGCGCGAATACTACTGCAACGCACGCCATTAGCTACGGCTCTGGAGATGTCTCTTCGTGGGCTGACATCCATGCGGCGGTCGAGAGCGCAGAACAAGGGAGGCTGGTTTTTCTCTCAGACTCTGCAGGACATCCTCGTTTCAGGCGGACCACTGTCCGCGGGATCGTCGGGTGGTAAGTTGATAACTCTTGCCGTGTCTCTATCAGCCGTTTCGGCATTCTACATGATCGGTTGAGCTTAGTAAGAAGGCCTTACTACTCTGTAATAACGCCGATTATTTTTCTGAGCTTCGCAAGTGTTTCCTATATGCTGAAACCCCTATACTTACAAGACCAGAACACGCGCTAATTATAGCCTTCAGGCAACCACATTGGACACTTTTATGCGTCCCTGCAGACGACACAGACGATTCCTCCGGTAAGATTGGAGCCTCGCCGACTTCTGAAGAACTACTCGGCCCGGCAGCCGCAGACTTCGACCTGTCGCATGCCCATCTACAGCTCTGCCTCGCCTTGGAATTGCCCCTGGTGATTGTGATCACAAAGTATGATTTGGCTACCAAGGCTGGCTTGCGTCAAACGTTGTCGAAGCTGTTATCTGTGCTCAAAGAAGCTGGACGTAGACCATGCATCATTTCTGATACCTCGCCCTCCGTGCTCGAGGCTGATTTACACGACGTTTCAGCGACGGATTTCCACGAAGCTGGAACCATTGTCAAACTCTTGCAAGACTCTCTACTCGCAGCCGTGCCCGTGATCCTCACCAGTGCCGTCAAAGGAAGCGGCATCCAAAAACTCCACGCCTTTTTGCGCCAGCTCCCCGTACCCTCACAACCCTCCCCTCCACCACCCACCTCCCCATCCCCCCTCTTCTATATCGAAGATGTATACAGCGTCCGAGCAAGCACCTCGACTAACCGCTCCGCCATCATCGGCGGCTACCTACGCTACGGCTCCCTAGCCATCGGATCAGAACTCGTACTCGGCCCCTATCCTATCGACACCACTTCCGACGATAGCGACAGCAGCAACGGCCGCCAACCTCCCCGAAAATCTCTCCTCCCAACATCACGCTCCTTCCCCGGTGCCCTCGCCTCAAAGGCTTCGCGCAACGCCGGACTCCGCCACCAACAGGCCGAATGGCGCCGCGTCTGCATCACTTCGTTGCGCAACTTGCGCTTGCCAGTGCGTGTCCTGCATGCAGGCCAGGTCGGTACCATGGGCATCACCCCCGTTGACTCACCGGCCATGGTGCACACCCCGAGTATCCAGCGCATACGAAAGGGCATGGTGCTTGCGGCACGCGAGTCCACAGCCCGCAAGGTCATTGCCGTTCGCTTCGAAGGCAAGCAGGCGTGCGGTGTGAGGGGCTGTGCCGTGGGCAGCGCTGTCGTGGTCTATATAAATAGCGTGAGGGCTAGTAGCAAAGTTCTTTCTGTATCGACAGCGGGGGGTATAGCAAGTGCAAGTGCAACTGCCCCTATCGATAACAACAACGAGGACACCGAAGACGGATTCGGCTTCAACTTTGACGACGAGAGTGTGGCTGCGTCGGCACAGCCATCGCCCGAGGCCACGCTCGTCAAGTTTCAGTTTCTGGCCGCGCGCGAGTTTGTCGAGATGGGGGCTCGGGTCCTGGTTATGCCTGGTGGGGGGCCCGGCTTGTCTGGGGGGAATGAGAGGGGCGCGAAAGGGCTGGCTGGGCTGGAGGGGTTTGTGGGGAAGCTTGTTGATGAATGAGGGAGTGAGATGGGAGCGGAGATTTTGTAATGGTAGAGAGTGTGTGTCAGGTGTATCAAATTACTGTGACGACTCGCACTTGTCTGATTCCTCAACCTAACTCAATCTGGTGACTGAGGCTATCGCATACATGATATACTATATACTTTTTCCCACCGAGTCTTCACTATAAACCCTCTACCCATCCCATAAACATACCCGCCTTCCCCTCCCTCCAAAACTTAGTGTCATCACGACTCCAACCCCTTGACCTCAATCGCCCTCACCAACTCCCCACCCAACCTCCTAATCTCATTCATAATAGCCACCTTATTCGCCCTAATCTCAACGTCTACCTGACCACCCCTCTTCACCTTGACAGGCTCACTATTCCACCCCGGCTTAACCTTCCAACTCCTCTGCCCCGTCACCACCGGATTCCACAAGCCCACGATGCGATCCAGTGCCAGGGGGTCCCAGAACCAGAGTATGGCGTCGCCATAGACAGCCACGAGATCCTGTGCAAAGAGCTGCGGCAGCGGGACCGAGGCGCCTGCACGCGTGACTTTCTGGAGGTCGAGGTTTTTGAAGTGGAGGGGGGAGGAAGAGGAGGTGCGTTTTTGCTTTGTGGAAGAGGAGAGGGCGTGTTTGGGCGCAATGCAAATTTGGAGGTCGTAGTCTGCAAGGTTGGTTGTGAAGAGGCTTTCTGGGGTGAGGTTGTGCTGGGATGAAGGCGTTGGTTTGCCGTTTGCGCGTGCGAGCAAAGCGTCTTCGTCGGCGCGGATGGCTTGTGTAGCTGCCTTTGCCAAAGCAGTTAAGCGGGCTGCGACGACCTTTTCTGGCCTCGCTTTGTCTGTCCATGTAGTGCCTTCTTCATCGAGATTTGTGGCGGCGAAGAGTACGACGCGGTTCATGGCCGGATCGATGCGTCGCCATGCTTCGAAGCGGGTTTGCAGTCGTTCGAAATCCTCGGCTTTCATGCCCTTGGAAGATGTGTCTTCGAGATCTGCAGGGTTGGCAGAGAATGTCGAGGAGAAGTCCACGATCAGAGGGACGTGGCGCCAGTCCCAGCGGCTGATCCAGGCCAATGTTCGCAGGAAGCCGGTGGTTGCGGTTGCGGGAACAGGCCAGGGGTGGTGCTGTAGGAATGTGCGGACGACGAGGAGTTCGATGAGTTCGGAGCAGAAGTGAGGGGTAAGTAGGTGTGAAGCGAACCATCGTTTAGTCAATCTTATGGATGGCGAGAGGGCAGGAAAGCGGGTACATAGTGTCTGGAGCACCTGCGAGTGTAATGGTGCATTCACAAATTCGCGCTTATATAGAGCTAGCGAAGCTGCTGCAGACTCGCGTGAAGGAGCATCGAGGGTCTTATCTTTGATCTGCCGGTCAAAGAGCGTTGGTTCTCGGTCATGGTATATGCGAATGCGAAATGTGTAGCCTGTAGAAGCAGTGACGTCGAGGAACGCCTGGTTTTGTGCCGGCTGCGATGGGTTCTCAAGACCGACACGGGAAGTGTATCCAGAGTCCAATGCTGCCAAAAGCTCAGAGAGCCTCAGCAAGAAAGCAATCTTAGTTCGCTGTATTGCGCAAAGATCATCCGGCCAACGCCCGGAACCTTCAAATTGCAGTACCACCGACGCTGGGGCGTGGCCTACAATGGGTGGCTCGATCGAAGAGTAACGGAGTTGTGAGTCGGCAGCCCTGATATGACGCAGCTGTAATGGGAGATCTCCAAGATCACGTATATCCTTCTCCAAGGCCGAAAAGGCGTTCATAATCGAAAGGAATGGCGTCACTCCTGACGCGCCCTGGATACGTCCAGCAGACACAAGGTGCGAGAAGGCATCGTGGGTGAATTTGGCTTGCTCCGCAGCTTGGGCTCCAATGTGCTTTTTGAGCACGTAAAGAGCAATCTGCTCAAGGACAGACGCTGATCCATCCTTGGTGGACCAGACTATGCTCTCCAAGATTGAACCGTCCTTGAACCGACGAAGCTCGGCTTTTTCGCCCCAGAATTTACGGAAAGACGCAGCTTCCTGCTTAAGTTCTGCTGAAGGGCCATGATCGACGGTTCGGCTGGCATTGGCAGGGTCTGTTGCGAAGCTGACAAGTATACTCTTGCGCTTATCGTCCCGAGGCCTGCGCGAACTTATTGACCAGCTGCCTTCTTCTGGTAGGGCAATAGTCAGAGCCGTGACACGATCACTCATACCACGTCCAAGACTTGTGTAGATATTCCGGCAGATTTCACTCAGACGCTGGTCGTATTCGTCACCTGCAGACGAAAGATCGAGAGAGGAAAGTGGTATCTCAAGGATAGCGTCGTATCGAAACTTCAGCAATTCGGTCTTGAGAATGAATGTGTTGTCGAACTGATCGAACACAGAGTCACTCAGCATATCGATTGTAGCCTTAGCCTCAGATCGGAGGCGGTAGTAAGACCATGGCGTCATCTTGAAGAGGATATTTTGCCCTCTGGGTCCATCGAAGACGACAGGACCATTCTCATTCTTTGGGATGGTGATGTTGACGGCCTGAAAGATGAAGGGTTTCTTGGTCAAATCTCCACGTCCGAGAAATTGCAGGGTGGCTTTGAAGAGTTGGTAGCTGCTGAAGGCTGGCGAAACAGACTGTATACCGGTCGCTGCATTTGGCTGCAATAGCAAAGCCATCGTAGCAGCCCATTCGAAATTACCAAAACCGCCTTTACGAATATGGCCGTCAAAACCACGCTGCTTGAGCCAGACACGTCCTAATATACACGCGTCTCTGAAGGCGTCAGCCTTGGACGCAGTGGCATGCAATAGCTTGAGGTAGGCAGTAACATTGGCGTCAGACTGCAGTGTGCTATTGTAGAAGGGAGTTGGAGTGAGTTTTTGGATGGTCGTTTCTTGCTCGCTACCCTTGGGTCGAATGCATTTGGCGTCTGGAAGCAGCTTGTTCTGAGCAAAGGTATGCTCTGGCAGGGCTACAAGTATATTGATGTGGCACTTGGAGCTTGTGAAGTCATCCTCGTCTCCGTTGCCGCTGGGTCGTACAACGAGAATAGGCTGTAATTGGTTCCCATTGAGACTTTCAAAGGACAGAGCGAATTTGTGGTCTTTGGAGTCTTTGATGCCAGCCGCTAGACAGGCCAAATAGTACGCGCGCTTGTAAAAGTATCGGTGATTGAGGTAGTCTTTGTCCTGAAACAAGGCTTTTGGCATGGTTACAACAAGATCTATGCCAATGCTATCAGGACTGCGACTCGCGGTCTTGAGTGGGTAGCTGCCAGTAGCATTGACGCTGGATGGGCGTTCGTACGCCAGCTTGTAGAGAGCATCCTTTGGAGGACGAGGACTTGGGAAGGGCACGACGATACCAGCAGAAGTCAACGTCTTTTCGGCTTCCGCAATCTAGGGTCTATTAGTAGTTGCCGTGTGAAAAAAAGCAGTTGACGTACAGGAAGCGCATCGCGATTGGGAATCTGCTCGATGATGGCCTTGAGAGTTCGCATAGCACTCTCGGCAGGCGCTTCTTTCTTCCCATACCTCAGCTTGACCTGATCCAGTAGCTCGTCGACCTGGAGCTTAAACATGTTCGACTTGAAGGACTCTGAGGTATAGACGCTATCTTGGAGGCTTGGGACTGGTCTTTTCGCTGGTTTTGGCGCGCTGGTGGTAACCTTGGCTGCGGGTGTTTGTTTCTTGCTTTGGTCGTGAATAGCTTCGTCGTCTTCTTCTTCCACAACTTTCTCTTCTACATCCTCGTCCATGTCATCGTCATCGTCATCATCTTCCAAACCCTTTACATCGCCATCCATTGAAGCGTCGCTATCATCCTCTTCATCTTCAGCGCCGCTCCCGTCCAGGGCCACACCATTGTCGTCGCTAAAGTCTGCGAAGCTCCCTTCGCTATCTTCTTCCGAGTCGCTGTGCTCGAGCTTTCTTCTCTTCAAAGCGGGCGCGGCCATGGTGCTGATTGTTCGTTTCGTCTCTCTCTTCTCGCGGCGCAAGATTTCAGTCGCGAACTTTTTGGCAGATGGCGCTAGCTAAGCCCGCCCTTAATCGATAAGGCCCGGACCCCCGAATTGCCGCGAGTTGCGAACATATGACGGAGCAAGAGCTTCCCTCGCCTGATCCCCCCCCCCTCACAACCCCTCGCCCGTATGTCACCTGTGGAGCTGTCATGATGCATCACTAGTTGTTCCTTTTGTGTTTGTATGCATGGCTGGTTTATCTCTTTGATGCCATGTACTCTTCTTAGCCTGTGTCAAGGTTCATGGCCTTAACTACTCCCTATAGATCATTCAATACCACACGTTTCACTACTGCATTCCGGCCTTTGACTCTATCACTACTAAAACACATTACCCACTGTTCAGCCAGCAGGAAATCTTTCAGTATGGCTTGGCGCAGCTCTGGCTCCTCAAATGAATCTCTTATAACAAATCTCCGGCGCAACGGACTCATAGATTCGGATCGCGTGGAACAAGCCATGCTCAAGGTGAGCAGCAATGAATGAACGTAGGTCCAAGCGAACAATCAAATTCACATGCGCCCCCAACAGGTCGACCGTGCGCATTATGCACCCTCGAGGCCGTACGAAGACTCGCCTCAGACTATAGGTCACCGAGCGACCATATCAGCACCACACATGCACGCATCAGCTTGCGAGAACCTCCTAGATTATCTCAAGCCCGGTTCGAAAGTCTTGGATATCGGCTCCGGCTCCGGCTATCTGACCGCGGTATTGGCCAATCTCGTTGTACCCAGCGGTACAGTGGTGGGCATTGATCACATCCAGCCGCTGGTTGACGTGGCCAAGGCAAACATGGCCAAATCTGAGGAAGGAAGGAAGATGCTGGAAACAGGGCAAGTCAAATTTGTCCTTGGAGATGGACGTCGAGGCTGGCCAGAGGAAGCACCGTACGATGCGATACACGTCGGTGCGGCAGCGGCGGAACACCACAAGGAGCTCACTGAGCAATTAAAGGCCCCAGGTCGTCTGTTCATTCCCGTTGCAGAGGGCGATCGACAGTATATCTTCGTCGTGGACAAGAAGGAGGATGGTACCGTGGAACGGAAGAAGCTCTTCGGCGTCCAGTATGTGCCTCTAACAGACGCGCCCAAGTAATGCAAAGATCGCATATAATCTTTCCACAATATGAGAAAATCTAAGCAGAAAGAGGTTTTGATGGCCCCGGATGGCATTTTGGTCCAATATTAGAGCCCAGGACGTTTGCGAATCATACAGACGATGCGGTCATGGATAAGTCTATGAGAAGCTACGCAACCAATTGTTCTGCGTCGGGTCAGTGTTGGGTAACAGATGCGTCGATCAACCAAGTCGAGAAAGTAAGAATCAAATGTCTCTCGCCATGTCCCAAAACAAATAAACCCTATTGATCCCATGGTGTTGACAACAATGAGATGAGATGTGTAGTGCTTACACGTGATTGACTGGGCAAATTGTCAGCTTTCATGTACAGCATGATTGACTTCTGACCTTTCCCGTCTGTCATCTAGCTCTGGTTCTTCTGCAGATACTCAGTACTATTGAGCTTATTAGGTTTGTATACGAGCAATGGCTGGCTTCAACATGGCCAGCTCTGGTGATCCTGTGGAAATGATGATGCATGGGACACAGTGACGGAAAGACCTATTCTGAGCGGTTCTACTGTCACTTGCGCTGATCAATAATCTGAGTAATCATGGACACAGATGTAGCCCAATCATTGCAAGAAACATTATTATACATCAAGATGTCCTCGATATCAATCCGACGATTGGTACATACAGGATACCCTACATGGCTTGCTTACCCACGCCTCTCACCCCGCACGCTCAAAACAGCATAGCGTCACTGCGGGGTAAGCTAAGCTCTCTCCACAACTCCCGGCATGTGGGGTCCTCCTTTCTCCTCCCCAACCACGCGCGAACTCACGTACACGGCTTAGGTAGCGAAACGGCATGTATTCACGGCCGGTCTCGGATTGTTGGTTCCGCGTAGAGAGGCGGAACGGTTCACTCCTCGTCCCTCCCTTTAGATGCAACAAATACTACTCTTTTCACCCCACTAATACATCATCCACTTTCATCACTTCCCCCACAACTCTAAACACATCGTGAACATAGCCCCTTTAGCCCACAGACATCAATTCAATGTCCAAGCCTGTAGCAATAGTAACAGGAGCTGGCTCCGGTATAGGAGAAGCCGTAGCAATCCACCTCCACAATGAGCGCGGCTACAAAGTCGTTATCGCAGACATGAACCCGACAAGCGGCGAACGCGTGGCCGCGTCCCTGGGTCCCAACGCCCTCTTCATCCAAACCGACGTGTCTTCGTACAAATCGCAGGCGCAAATGTTCAAGCGCGCATACGAATGGGGCGGCAACCGACTTGATTTCTGCCACGCGAATGCAGGGATTGATGATAGGCAGAATATCTTCGAGGCGAGGGAGAGGGAAGAATTGGATGAGGAGGGGTTGTTAAAGAAGCTGAATACAAAGACGTTAGAGGTGAATCTTGAGGCTGTGGTGCAGGGCCTCTGGCTGTTCAAGTATTATGTTAGACGAAGTGAGGGGCCGGGGAGTGGTAAGGGGAAATTTGTGGCGACGAGTAGTGCGGCTGGATTATAGTATGTCTCCCTCTATCTCTTTTCTTGCTTTTTGTTTGTGTTCGGGACTGTATAAGAGGGTGCGAGATTGGACACTGATTCTTGCCAGCCACATGTCACAATGCCCCCAATACACAACCTCCAAATACGGCGTAATCGGGCTCTGTCGATCCTCAGGCCCCATCTTCGTCAAAGAAGGCATCACCGTCAACGCCATCTGTCCCGCCTTCATTCCCACAAATCTCTGCCCGCCCGAGGTCCTCAAGCGTTGGCCAAAAGAACACATCACGCCACTGTCGACAGTGAACAAGGCGATTGATGCGTTCTTGGCGGATGACTCGTTGAGCGGCCAGGTGGTCGAGTTGTCGCAGGACGAGATTTATTTTAGGAAGCAGCATGATTGGGTGAATGAGAGTCAGAAGTGGATTGGGGAGGAGAGTGACAAGATTTGGGACGTTGGGTACGCGGAGCCGCCGAAGAGAGAGGGGTATTGATAGAAGTTGGGTTACTAGAGAATCATAGTTGTGAAAGTGGATAGTTGGTGGTGACTCGATTGGCTACTCCCTTCTTGATTGTCATGGTATGTTATATCATGGAAATAATTCATTAGAACCAATCTGATACTCAAGAAAATTTTCGAATTTTTGCACCTTCAAAAATGACAACGTGTGCATATACAAGCTCATATTACAGCATGTCCTCCCAATTGTTTTCCGCCTCCTTGCCCTCCTTCATCATAATCTCTTTGTGCTTCGCCGACCGCGGCCTAACGTCGCACTCAAACGGCTCCGGCACACTGAAGAACCCCGGCATCATCTTATCCGTAACCTCGACCTCCTTCCCATCCTTGCCCACCTTCTTCCTGATATTGAACCCCCACAGCACCCTCGACACATTAATAAACAATGAGCGCTCCGCCACATGAACACCAGGACACGCTCGCCTCCCCGCTCCATACGAGAAGTGATCCCGCTCCCGGGCATCCGCAGTATTCATATAATGTGCCGCCGACGCCGAATGCCCCATATACCGCTCCGGCTTAAACGCCTTCGGATCCTCCCAATTCTTCTCATCGTAGTGAATTGCCCACCAATTCAACACGACGACTGCACCCTTGGGGATGAAGTACCCTTCGTACCAGTCATCGTCGCTAGTCGCGTGCTGCATGCCCATTTTATTCACCGGTCGCCACCGTAGGACTTCCTTGATCAGGCCGCGGACATAGGGTAGGTTCTCCTCGTCTTCCCAGCGTGGCAGCCGCTCGCTGCCCACCACTCTATCCAGCTCCTCCTGCGCTTGCCGCTGCGCCTCGGGGAACAACACCATGCACAGCATGAAGTTGTTCAGCGTGGTGCCCGTAGTTTCAGACCCGGCTTCGATGAGGCCGCCGCAGGTGTAGGCGGCTGCTAGGTCGTCGATGCCTGACTTGGCAGGGTCGTTGAGGTAGAAGGTTTTTGTGAAGCAGTCGCGTGCTGTGCCGGCGTCGGTTTCACGCTTCAGCTTGTTCCATAGGTCGAGGTAGACGGCGCTGTCTTTGGTGAAGATTTCTTCGCCGTAGCGGCGCCAGTTGCCGAGGAGGCGTTGAGGGAGCCATGTCAGTGAGGGAAAGGATTCTATGGCGAAGGCGCCGGGTGCTCTGGGGTCTTGTGTTAGGAATGGTCTATGACTTTTATACTATTGTTGCAACATCTTGGATCAAACAGTACGGGAATTGGACGAGACATGGGGAGGAGAGCTTGTACGTACGTCATCTCTGTGAATCTGGCCAGTACACTGTAGATTCGCTGGATGAGGGGATCATCCCAACTTGGAATCCGATAGCCATACGTAACCAACATGATGACACTGGCCGAATACCTCCGATTAATCGACAGAAACTCTTCCGGGCTCTCCAACAACTCCTTCAGCAAGACTTTGCTCTCGAAATCCTGAACAGGCTGATACTTGACACTTGCCGTGAGATTCAACAGCGCGTGGCTGTGCTTGCGAATACTGCGCCAACGTGGTCCATACGGCATGAATAACTGTCGTCGACCCGCGCTGGCAACGTCCTGGGCGAGCGGGGAAGGCGCACGGGACGAATATATAGAGGATCGCTTGTCCATGAGGTCTTTTACGGCCGTGGGCGAAGAAAGCCATATGTAGTCTGTGCCGCCTAGTTTGGTGTAGAAGATGTCACCGAATTGCTTGTGCCAGGCGATGACCTTGTCACGCTGGGTTTCCGTGTTTGCAAATTCGAGGAGATTGCCGACGAAGGGGAGGCCTTTTGGTCCGGGTGGGAGTTTGCGGCGACGTGAGTCCTAAGGTGCAGTTGTTAGCGATGGTGGCTTGGGACTGGGACAGTGTCTGAATGTGGTATACCTTGAGACTGTTGGGGACAATGATGAAGTATATCGTCAAGATGAGGAAGATGGGAATGGAGAGCAGTATTGTAATTTTTGATAATAAGTTTCCTGGAATGAGGTCTTGCAGAGTGGTCAGGATCGCCATCTTGTCGTTGTGATGCTTACTTGTTAACTCATGCAAGGGAATATTCTGATACACAGCGACGAATGATTTCACCGGTCATCTGGATTACTTCTATTTTGTCAAGTCCAACATCACAGGTACGCTAGTTAAAAAATCGTCCGTATGGATCCGCGATTGTAGTTGGGGCTGGGGTAAAGTGAGGCCCCTCACGTCTTCCCCGCATAAGATGGACATGCCCCACACTGATCTCCAACACAATGTACAACTTCACTTCCCGTGATGAGATCTACCAATCATTCAACAACAACGAATTCGAAATGTAACAGTAGCTCTTAGGTTGGATTCTGTCCTCATCCATATTACACATCCTATTCAGCTGTCAAATGGTCATGCCCTTGACGCGCGATAGCGAAGGCCATACCTACGTTGTACACGCAAACGGACAACGCTCACACTATGTCTTAGACGACTTCACCGATCCCTGGAAGCCTTCAGAGACGATACTCATCCAACACGGCTTTGGTCGACATGCCGCGTTTTGGTATCATTGGGTTCCTGTCCTGGCACGGCGATACCGGGTGATTCGACGAGATCTCAGAGGACATGGTCGCTCGTCATGCGCGTCCCCCGAACAAAAGGACAGCTACAAGTACGACGTGGATACAATCCTGGGAGAAATCGTCGATACCCTGGATCAACTTGGTGTGCAAAAGGTGCATTTCCTTGGAGAATCAACGAGCGGCATGTTGGGCGAGATATTCGCAGCCAAACACCCAGACAGAATTCACAGTTTGACTGTATGTTCATCGCCGACATATCTCCCACCTGCAGCATTGAAGCTCTTCGCCTTCGACAAGCAAGATTGGCCTACTGCTTGTAGAGAGCTAGGTTCACGGGCATGGGCGGAAGCCTTGTCGCGGATTCCCGGCACTATCCCCATCTCCGATCCGTCTTATTTGCCATGGTACTTGTCACAGATTGCGATAAGCAGCGGTGAAGGACTGGCACAGTATGCCGAATTCCTGTCGCACCTCGATGCTCGGCCTTTTCTCCAGCAGATACATGTGCCCACGTTGATCTTGGCACCGACGGAGAGTGTGGCTGTTACTGTGCAAGATATGGAGAAGTTGGCGGAGATGGTGGAGGGGAGTAGGTTGGAGTTTGTGGAGGGAGGCGGTCACGAGATTTATGTCACCAGGGCTGGAAAATGTCAGGACCTGTTTCTTGCGTTTCTGGAGTCTTTGCGGATGTGACGGATAAATAGTACTGGTGTTCTGGTATCACGTAGCTAGTGTGGAATTAGTAAAGGGCCATATATGTTGGGCTTACTGTACAGCATGCGCATTTTTACAGGCCTTTGGACAGCTACTGCTTCTACCTACTGTACCTAGTACCCTAGGCAGCGTAAGCATGCTTTTGAGACTTCAAAGTCGGTGTATCCGAGTGATGGCCCTGCTTGGTATTTCCAAAGTAGCGTCAACGCCCCGCAGGAGAATCGGTCTTTTACTTCCAATGCCATGGTAATATCACCGTACTACATGTGTGCCGGTGTAAAATGTATGACTGCCGATTAAGGGACGTTGAAATAGTCCGCACAGGCCCGAAAGCACATTGAATCGGGGATAAAAATGACAATGGTTCACTACAGTGGAGGTTGAGCGACGTGCTACTCGTATAGGTACTGATAGTCCTTCAAAAAAAAACTTCACGCTCTTCGTCGTCTAACATCAAAATTTGTCATTCTTGCAATCTGCTCTTGTGCCTCTCTTCCCCAACGCCAAGTAATCCACCAAATTAGCAGTCTACCTACGCTACCCTTCGATTTCATGAACGACCAACGCGGCCCGAATGAGGCCATCCAAAGCCTCCGAGCAGCGGAAAAAGTGGAGTACAACGGCCCCAACATGTGTTCAGCATGCACGACTGTTTCTAATCGGGCGATTGTTTGCGCAAAAGAAGGGTGAATAGTCGGTGCAAAGGCGGTCGTGGTCGTTACTGTGTGACAATGTCCTGGACAACGACATGAAATCAAACGTCATTTCCCACGACGCGTACTATATACCTAGGGCGTCTGCCAGCCGCTTGTAGAAGTGTAGTCCGCAACGTTACCCAGTCAGTTACCTAGTGTACGGTGTACGCAATCGATCGGAAGACTGTTCCCGCGCGAACTTACCTCGGCATCTCGCTCTGTTAAGTTGACCTCTTTCAATATTGTATGTACTAAGTACATTTGAGATGGCGGGGAAACACCACCATTTCGCACCAACCGTAGCCGAACCGTTCCGTTGGCCGTCAGAATCGGAGTGACCAACCATATTCTTTGTGCTGTGATCAACTCGGCATGGAACGGCCTGTCGAACCGGGGGTTAAAAAAATGCCCTTCCCCCCAAGCAGCGGTACACATCAGCCACGTACGGCGCGCGCCGTATCAGATGGTGACAGCTGTGTGAGCTTGTAGTTCTCGAGTTCTTGTAGTTGTGCAGACCTAATCTAGGAATTCCAGTCCTCTCCCATGATGTGACGTCCAGCTGCTGCTTGAATACCTACCATAGTAACTTTGGTGGAAGCACACAGCTTGCAATCAACTTCATGTGATCGGGCCGACCTGCAGCTGACACAGCTTCTCACGAATTCAACAACGTTGATGTTGTTTGCACGTCGTCCGCCTGCAGAGTTGCGCGGACGAATTGGACCAGTGTAGGTAGGTAATACTCTAGTGGCCGAGGCCACCAAGGGCGTTGGCAGCAAGCCGCAATGACGCAAATGATAGGTCCAAGACAGGACCTTGTACATTGCCAATGCCCTTGTTCGGACTACCGTACCTGCGCGATTGGTATAGGCCTGGAGCGATTATTTGACTGACAAGGCTGGCCACGTTGGGGCCATGTCTAGGCTCTGTCAAGACGCCATTTTGACCAGGGACATTGGAGCCTTGGGGATTTGCATATTAAACATGTCCCCCGAACCCGGCGGATGGACAGTGGTTTTGTCTTCTCGTGAATTCCTTTTGGCGTCGATCACTAGGCTTGTTGTCCACCCCAGTCCAAGGTCGAGAAGAAGCTTATAAATACCATCGCCCGGTCTGCCTGACCAGCCCTAATCGCTTCAAGATGTTGAAATCTCTTGCGGTGGCGGCTCTTGTAGGAGCTTCTTCTGCGCAGAGCCTATCTTTGCCGGAAGTGGATCTTGGATACGAAATATATAGAGCTTCCAGTTTCAATGTTGGTATTCCCTTTTCGAAGAACATGTGGATCTTGTAGCTGACTTTTGATGACAGAACACTGGCAACTTCTACAGTAAGCTGATGCAGCTGAAGCGCCTGTGGCACAAAGACTGACCTTAATCTCTTTCCTACAGACTTTAGTAACATTCGATATGCGGCGCCTCCGGTTGGCGAATTCAGATTTGCCCCCCCTCAGCCGCCCGCTGAAAACCGGTCAGCCGTGAACACGGGTGGTGTTTCAAGGTATGTGCGCCATATTTCATACAAACATGAACTATCTGACCATTGTACCAGGATCTGCCCTCAGGCCTCTCCCGCATGGAACGCGCCAGCGGCCCAATTTCTGGGGAACGTGTTACTCGGTCTTCCTCCATCAAACGTCACTTACGTACCTCCTCGAGCCAACTCAAGTAGCCCTATCCCACCCCGTGACCCCCGCGAATCCGAGGATTGCCTGTTCTTGGATGTTTACGTGCCGGAAGATGTTTTCAGTAATGTTGGTAAAGGCTACGGAGCTCCTGTCTTAGTGTGGATCTACGGCGGTGGCTACACTAATGGGAATAAGAATGAGAATCCTGCAGGGTTGATTGCCGCTTCTGGAAACTCCTCAAACGGCGACATCATCTACGTTGCGTTGAACTACAGACTTGGTGCCTTTGGCTTTACTTCTGGTCCTACATTTAACGCTGAAGGTGGTGTCAGCAACCTTGGACTGTACGATCAACGATTCGCTCTGGAGTGGATTCAGAAGCACATCCACCTTTTTGGAGGAGACAAGAACCGCGTGACCGTTGTCGGCGAGAGTGCTGGCGGTGGAAGCATCATGCATCAAATTACGGCCTATGGTGGAGAGAAAGGCCCGGTACCGTTCCAGCAAGCTGTGCCACAATCACCTGGGTGGGCTGCTGTTCAGTCAGCTGTTCAACAGGAAGATACCTATCAGAGGCTTTTGGAGTTGACAAACACCACATCCCTTGCCGAGCTTCGCGCACTCCCATCTGAGGAGCTCATCACGGCCAACGCGCGGCAGGTTGCTTACGACCCTACATGGGGTCTATATGTATACGGACCTGTAGTTGATGGTCTCTTTGCGCCTCAACTTCCGAGCAGGCTTCTTGCCCAAGGTAAATTTGACAAGAGCCTACGGATCATGGTTGGACACAATGCTGCAGAAGGCGTATACTTTACGCCTCCGACAGTGCAATCTGATGAGACTCTTCTTGCTCAGCTTAGATTTGTCTATCCGTTTGCTCCTCAGGAATCTCTTGATTACATCGTCAACACCTTGTACCCACCCGTTTTCGACGGAACTTACCCATACACCAACCAATATGAGAGGGCCACCCTAGTTGGGTCCGAGGGTGTCTTTACCTGCAATACCAACTACCTGTCGACCGCATTCAAAAACGAGACGTACTCATACCTATTCGCTGTCCCACCGGCGTTCCATGGCCTCGATGTTGCTTACACGTTCTATGATGGTGGAGCACTTTCACCACCATTAGGTGTTGTCAATCGCACGGTTGCCATTGCGTTGCAGGAATTTATCGCAAGCTTTGCAGAGGGTGGTGTGCCTGAGGCTGATGGTGTCACTCAGTTCAACATGTACGGAGAAGACGCCGGCGTACTCAAGCTGAACATTAGTGGCATTGACGAAGTACGCGACAGCAATGCCAATGCAAGGTGTGCATGGTGGCAGAAGGGTCTAATCTAGAGCCCTAGAATCCATGAGCCTACACGATACATAGTTGTCAGTAATCGTAATGAAGATATTCACAGACACACATGCATGACATCAATCACCTAGCTCTCATATACTCCTAACGCATGAGCAGAGTCAGAAGAAAGTAGTAAAAAGGTGGATCGAAGACATCGAGATGGTTTAGCTTTGGCGTGCGCTAGCATCGAGTGGTGATGGCTGGTCATAGCGACGTCATCACACTTGTGACTTCGCATTGGTAGCACAACTGCTCGTGCCTTAAAGCTTCATTTCTGCAGCTCCAACTAAACCTCGTCTTCAAGAAACCTCCTTCCAACTTTCTCATACTACGCACCCCAAACCAGTCTCACTCCCACTTCACCCACTTCACACCACTTCACCCACTTCACACCACTTCACCCACTTCACACCACTTCACCCACTTCACACCACTTCACCCACTTCACACCACTTCACCCACTTCACACCACTTCACCCACTTCACCCACTTCACACCACTTCACACCACACCACACCACACAAAAGCACCAACATGTTCCGTCAACAAATCGCCCGCCAGGCCCGCCTGTTTAGCACCACTCCAGTCGCACGCAAAAGCCCCGTAGAAACGATCAAGGATGCTGCAAAGGCCGTCGACAGGACAATCTCAGGTGCAGCCGTAAAAGGCATTGAGAAGGGCGGTAAGTCAAAAATTCCTTGCTTGCACCAGCATTGCACAGCACCACCTGATGCTTCATATATCATGTTTGCAGCAGAGAACATGACAGCATCCTACCGTCCGTTGCCACCGCCCATGCCCGAGCGAACCAACTGACAAGTAAACAACAGAGGAAGTCGCTGGCGCCGTCAAGGAAGCCATCCCCGAGACCAAGGGCGAGGCCAAGGGCCAGGCCAACGAGATGGCAGGAGCCGCAAAGGGAAAGGCAGCAGAACTCAAGGGCGAGGCCAAGGCCAAGGCGAACGAGCTCCAGGGCGAGGCCAACAAGAAGATGTGAAGCGTTTCTTTTTGGGGAACTCAAATAACGATGTGTTCACCTCGGGCGGAAAAAAAGCATCTTCTCAAGCTAGCAACCCTCCACCAGCGTGAGAGAGTGTAGCGTGCTGGACTTTATAGACTGAGGACGGATATGGCTTGATGGTTTTAATGAAAAGAAATGTTTGCTTGCATACTACATATGTCTTTTGAGGATGAAGCTGTCGTGTCATTGGCTCATCCCGGCCCTTTTTCCCCATCTGGGCGTTGGGATGGCAACAGCATCGCTTTTCACACCACATCCCATTGATTCGCAGTCCGCTGTACATTTATCTTTGACCTCGGAGGCAAATTCTATAACTGAAGAATTCGCATATGCACAGCATGCGCACTGGCCACAGCGCGTGACGTCAGCGCCATTGGAGCACAACATGACATAACCATAACACAACACAACCCCGATAACTATACCGTAAACCACCGAAACATATCAGTGTGGGAACCAGTGACAACACCACACCCTCTGTCTATCCAAGCACCAAGCCCAGTTCAACCAAGCGTCTTCTAGATTCTCCCTATAATTGCTAGGGATTTTGTACAGCCTTCACTTGACGACGGGAAGCGAATCCCAAGAAAAAGTCCCCTTCAAGCCAGCCTCCCATAGCCAGATATCCCAGTCCCCAAACTCCCCCCAGCCTCACATCAACTCCCCCAAAAAAGATCCCACATCCACCTTCCTCGCCACACGAATCCTCCTCTTCTTATCCGGCTCGCCCGTCTTGTGCTGCAGCGCCAACACATCGCTACTGCGTTTATGCGTCAGGCCTGGACTTTGCTGGTGGCGGGTGCGACGGAACCAGGAGATTTGGGCTGGATGGGCCGTGTGGCCGTAGGACATGGATATGCGAGCATGTGTGGCGGGAGGGGCGGGAGATGGGGGTGTGGCGAGTTGGGTGCTTAGGTTGTAGAGGGTTTGCATTTGGGATTCGCGTGTTGTTTTTGGGTCGGTCCAGATTTGGGTGGGGGTTTGGGTGGGGAGGGAGGTGGGGTTGGGGTTGGGGTGCCAGCTAGGTGGTGTTACGTTGGTTAGCGGTGGCTGTCTTGAAAGAAGAGGGATGCAATGCGAGTTTGAGTGGGGAGATCAACTTACGAGGTGTCATCTGTTATCGCAAGCCATGGACTGTCTGGACTTTTGGATACCTTCTTTCCTGCCCTGGGTCCCTGGGCCTGGGTCCCAAGCAGAACGAGCGAGGGAAAGCTCAGTGTGCCGTCCATGGTAACCGTACTGTTCGATGGCATACTCACCAGGACCAGAACCCTGAGTTTTTGAAAAGCACCCGTTTCACGCACAGCGCGTCCCCAGTTGCTGATGTTCTTGGAGGCTATGGATTCGCTGCTACCCCTGAGACAGGGATCAATGACCAGTGCCGCCAGACTAGATATCTTGAGTAGGCTGAAGAGATGGTCGACATTGAGGTCAAGATTCTGCAGGCACAAAAAGGACAATACACAGCCATCTAATCTTGAAAAGCGGTCGACAATGGACGGCAATTGAACCGGGCTGTCCTTCTCGTAGTATCGAAACGCGTGGTGGCGATCAATGAGTTCCGGAAAAGCACGGTGGAAGACTCTCCAGGCACTGAAAGACAGTGTATCTCTTCCCATCTGTACATCAGCACGTCTGTCTCGAAATACACAGCGTCAACATTGTACTGACGTCTTCTGAAGCCGGATGTAGATTTGACGGGCGTAATGCCAGCCGAGCCACTGCAAGGCCGTGGGATCCATGTCGTGGATACGCCACATGCACGAGCGCATGGCCATGTCTCGTAAGCTGGCTGCTCCGTTCCAACGCTCTTTGTACCTTGAGGGATTGACTTGGTCGCCGCGCGTGTGTCGTGACCAGGCTGGTACCATGGAGCGCACTTCCGCCGCCACCATCTCCGTATACACTTGGCCGGACTCATCGTATAATCCCATAGTGGTGAAGTGGGGGTTTTTTTTCTCTGAAGAAATGTACGAGGTACAGTGATTGGAGAATGGAAACGACGAATAATACTCGAATGCTAGACTTGGACGCGTCTCTTTGAATAACCTTTTCACGCGTTGGCAGCTTCCACAATATAGTGGTAGAGATACCTACACGGCAAAAGTCTCAAAATCCTTCTCGTGATTGGGTGTTGACGCTTCCGAATCTGTGGAGTGCTACGTCGATGTCGAAAATAATAGGGTGCTGTATGCAGTCACTGGAATAAATCCACAAGATGTCATACACTCGCATGGGTGGGTGAACGCGTGAGCACGTGAGCAGACTTCGTCCCGTCCCGAGGTCGCTACCTAATCGACATGGCATCGAATTTCCCTAACGACCAAGGCCATCTCTTAAGACCAATACCTTGAACCCTTCAAGTACAACATCCAAGAAAACATCTGCTCTTTTACTCCAACACTAGAAGAAGATCCAGAAACCAAGTTGTTGACTTGTCCGCTTTCTTTAGTTGGGTTTTTTCTCTCTCTCTTCCCGGCAGTTTTGAAGTGGCAGTTTGTTTGGCTGGTTTCGGAACGATTCTCCGCAAATCGGAATTGCATCATTTTTCTGGCCCCTCGCCGAATTTGTGTGCAACATTTTACAGTCAGCAGGATCAGTGGGAGGTTTTGTTTCTAAATGGTTACTCTGATTTCAGTTTAGAGGATAACAGTACTTGTCTATTTTAAATCACAAGAGTAAGAAAAGGACAAGGAACGAAACAAGAGAAGAAGAAAAGAAGAAAAATACCCTCCAACCCCTTCACCCCCTTCTCCCGCCAAAAAAATAATAAAAAAAATGTCCACAACCACCCTCGAACAAGCCATCCACGCCCAAACCCCAATAATCCTCGACGGCGCCCTAGCAACCTATCTCGAAACCCTAGGCGCCGACATAAGCGGCGCCCTCTGGTCCGCCGACATCCTGCTCAAAAACCCGTCGCTCATCAAACAAGCCCACCTGGACTACTACCGCGCAGGCGCGCAAATCGCAATCACTGCATCCTACCAGGCCTCGCTGCCAGGGCTCGTGCAGCATCTCGGGCCCGGGACGGTGGGCGAAGACGAGGTCAAGGAGGTGGTGAGGACGAGTGTGAGATTGGCGCAGCAGGCGAGGGACGAGTATGTTGCTGAGAGGACGAGGGAGGGTGCTGGCGAGACCTCGACACCGCCACCACAACTCTGGGTCGCAGGCAGCGTAGGCCCCTACGGCGCCTTCCTCGCCAACGGCTCCGAATACCGCGGCGACTACGAGCTCCCCATCCCAGCCATGCAAGCCTTCCACCGCGGCCGCATCGCCGCCCTCGTCTCCGCCGGCGCCGACATCCTCGCCCTCGAAACGATCCCATCAAAGCAAGAAACGATTGCGCTGCTCGACCTGCTGCGCCACGAATTCCCCACCACAAAAGCCTGGTTCACATTTACGCTGGCCGGGCCCGACGCCATCGCCGACGGCACCCCGCTGGCCGAGCTGGTTCCGCTGTTCAGGCACGAGGCGCAGGTGCTCGCGCTGGGCTTCAATTGCGTGCCGGATGGGGTGGGGCTTGCGGCTGTCAAGGTGCTGAAGACGGTGTTGCTGGAGCAGGGTATGGCGCGTGTGGGTACCGTCATGTATCCGAATTCGGGCGAGTTGTGGAATGCGCGGGCGAGGGAGTGGGAGGGGAGCAGGACCGAGGGCGGGTTGTTGGGGGAGAAGACGAGGGAGTGGTATGCGGCTGGCGCGAGGCTGATAGGGGGTTGTTGTCGGACGACGCCGGGGGATATAGGCGTCATGAGGGAGGCGTTGGAGGGGTTTAGGTGATGGATGGGATGGATATGGGGAAACCGTGGTGATGGCTATGGAGTGTGTGGGTTTGTTGGGATTAGATGATGCCATTGTGTGACGTAGTGGTCTATTAAGAAGAGCAGTCTTCATCACTGCACTGCACTGTACGGCTTTGAACCCGCATCTTAAAAGTGAACACCACCCACGAGACAACTTTGTCGCTCATCACACCCACCGACGCCGGTCCCTTACACACGCACCCTTCCCCTTCCCACACATCTTCCTCCACCCCTCACGTCCTCGTCGGCAAATACGCACCCCCCGCAAGCACCAAATTCATCCGCGTAAACATGACCTTGTACACCGGACTCTCCTTGGTCGGAAACGCACTAATCTGATCCGCACTCACCCCCGTCTCCTTGACCGCCTTCTTCCCACCCGTAACAGTCGTGCCACTCGCGCCCTTAGTCGTCATGGCTCCGTCCGCCTTGGCCACGGGCCCTTCGCCCGCCTTGTCCCCCGTCTCCTGCAAAACATCCCATACACGCACCGTCTTGTCTGCACCGGCCGAGACAAGCACGCTGGACTCGACGCTCCAGGACAGCGACCAGATGCCGCCTTTGCCGTGGCCGCGCATCCGCTTGCGCCGACGACCCGTTTCCAGAGTCCAGAGGATGATGTTACCTGCGTCGTCGGCGGAGGCCAGGGTTTTGCCGTCTGGGGAACAGGAAATGGCTGTCACGTTGCCCGTGTGGCCGGTGAAGAGACGGAGACAGTTGCCACCGGATATGTGCCACATGCGTACTGTGCGATCACAGGAGCCGGTGAAGACGTAGAGGTTGTTGGGGTGGAAGGCAACGCAGTCGACGTCGTTGTCATGGCCGACGTAGATGCGCAGGGGTTCAATGTGGTCAGTGGACCAGAGACGGGCTGTGCGGTCGTTGGAGCCTGTGAGGAAGTAGTGGCCATATGGGCCCCATTGGAGATCCCAGATGGGATTGTCGTGGCCTCGGTAGGCAACAAGACAGGTGAATGTGTCGAGGGACCATAGTCGGACGGTCTTATCTTCCGAACAGGATAGGAGACATTGTGAGTTGGTGGGTGGACCGGTGGGATCGGGATTCGCTGTTGCTGGGGAGAAAGCGACGGCGTAGACGGGGCCGGAGTGGCCAATGAGACGGCGAGATGACGACTGTTGTGCATCTGGTGCATCGTCGGGAGAGGTGAGTGGGCTACCGTCCATGGACCATACACGAATGTAGGATTCAGCCATACCGGCCGCAACATGTCGGTTGTCACCTGAGAAGTCGATGCAATTGATGCTAGCAAAGCTGTCAGTATGAGCTTACCCAATCTACCGCTGGATTATCTTACCTGTCGAAGGTGTTATGGAAGGTATACATGGTGACGCTGACCGCTGGACCAACGCCACTAGTTCTACCTTCCATCTTGTACCGATCACGGTGCTCAATGATCTTCTGCACCTCCATGGACACGTCGCGAGCCAAAGACGGAGGCAGAGGAACTGTATCCCGCGAGGGACCATCCTCAGGCGACTCCCGCTTGATGCGCTGCTCAAATTCATCGACGAGGCTCGGTTGTCCAGGTCTTGGTGCATTTTTCGCATCTTCATCTTGCAACGTAGCTCGCACATCCTCTAGCAGTTCTTCGTCTCGCGGGTATGGACCCAGTTGCAGTCTTATTCGCGCTGCGTCAGCATCAGGATCGTGTCGCGTTGTGAGAGGATGACCAGGGTTGTGTCCAGGAATACCCTCGTCTTCTGCTGGCAGGTCATCATCGCCTTGGCCACCAGCGAGGATCGCGGCGATACTCTTCTCCGCTGTTGCTGTGCGATCGACTGTGACAATGTTCAAGTGGTCACGGATAACGTCCATCAGCGCCTGTCCACCCTCAAATTGCTTCGACTCGAGGAACTGGATGAGATTGTAGAAGGGCATTGTCGTCAAAGTTATACGATACTTGTTTTCAAGGTACAACTTCGCGATCCGACTCTCCTGGAGATGCGCCTGTAGACGTACCTGGCGCAGCGTCTTCACATCGTCGTCATGGTCGCGTTCGAACAGATGCTGATATGCCGCGAAGAAAGTCTCCGCGTCCTTGGTGTAAAAGTCGCGCACCAGATCCAAGAATGAGTACACGAAGACGGGCCATAGCAGTTTCCGTAGTTCCGGTCGATAGAGATCCAAATTATCCTCTGTGTATTTCCGCAAGAGTTCGAAAGCTTTCGTGTACTTTACGCCGCCCGCTTCGGTGCTATGGGTCACGAGCGCCTGTCCGTTGGCTAGCGGTTCCGACTCCTTGCGGAGCATCGCCTCGGTGCGGACATAGCCCTTCTTGGAGAGATACTCTAAAACCTTGTGATTTGTTAGCAAATTAATGCCTAAAGAATGCTGAGGCGATGCTGATTTAAAGCGACAATTGGTGAGCTCTACATGATTGACGGTCTCGCCTTGTGAAGGCGGTTTGGGAAAAGGCGATTGGTAAACGTGTTTTGTTTGTTGATTGGCGCTGTACGCATTCGTATCCTGTCTCCAAGACCCAGGTACAGCGCGGGCCGAGGGAGGAGTAACTGAGTACATTGATTTGCGCGGAGTAGGGAGCATTGTGTGGGAGAAATACGTAGAAGGGCGGGCGCAGATTGACGAGCTAGGTATACAAACATGGTGCAAAGCATTGCGAGGTGAAGCTGCGGTATATACGACGCGGCGCGACACGAGGGGCGTTTGTTCGTAAAAGAACGACAAGAGGCCAAACCAGGGCGCTTTCACCAACCCAGCATTTCATCTCCCCTGCACCCAATGGACATGTGCCGTTTTGCAAAACAACAAGACAAAGGTAAAGAGAGATAGATACGTACAATCTGATTGAGATTCGCCTGCGACGGCGGCCCTGTAGAGCTGCCCGGCGGCGGGCCATTGGGCTGTGGAGGCATACCGTTGTGCGGGGGGAGGCCAGCACTGGGAGGCCCATTGCCCACGCTCATTGCCCTAACAGGGCCGGGCCCGGGCGGGGGCCCTGACATTGCTGTTGTGATCCTTCTCTTCTATACGGGGCTTGCTGCGCTATTGCTACGCTGTCTCGTGTGCTTTGCTTTGGAGTAGGCAGGCGGGAACCTAGGCTGGTGTCGCAAGTCGCGAGGCTTATTCAAGGCTCGAAGCAGGAGGGACCACGATGCTGTCTATTTGCGCAATCGCAAGGCACGGCTGACTAGCGAGTCGGAAGGTGTTTATTTGGAGTCTTGTGGTGGCATATGGGCAGCCAGGGACGTTGCTGGGGCTGGGGCGGTTTGCGGAGTGAGGACGGAGGTGAGGTTTACCTACCTTGGAATGCCCGCGCGCGCCAAGCCGAGACGGAAAGGCTCGACATGCGCGGGCAGTTAAGGTTGTCGCGTAGGCACGTCCACCGGTTCTACCTACTACATACCCACAGCCATCAACGGAACATCCGCTTCACATTGTCGCATTAGCAATTGCCATAGTGAAACTACAATTGCTACAAATCATCTCCCAAGTCCCACCTCCCACAACGCAGAATCCAAAACCCGTCGCCCGATACTCTCAGAGACATTGCCCGACTTCCTCTCCTCTTCTCACCCGCCATGTCCACCGAAGAGCCCACACAACCCTCCCCCATGGACACCGCCACCACCACCACCACCACCTCCTCCTCCTCTTCCTCCTCCACAGCGCCACCGCCCCAACCCTCAGCCCAACAAGACGCCTCTCAGCCTACGTCCCAGCCAGAAACCTACCGCCAAGTCGCAGCCGCCCATATAGCCACCCTGTCTGAAATCAACCACCAACTCCCCAAAATGCTTCGCTACTTTGCAACCGCCCTGACCCAACTGACCGACCACCCCATCCACGACACCCACAACACCAACAACAATGACAACAACACCAACACCCAACCCACCGACACGCTAGAATCCCGCCGCGAAGCCTTCCGCAAATACGCCACCTTCACCGGCATGTCCGTCAACCTGATCCGCGAAGAACTCGTACGCCAAATCGAAGACCTCGAGGCCTACAAAGTAATCCCCACCAGCCATCCGAAATTCACAGTCGCCAAGCGACACGGCGACACGGCGCCGTCCAAGGAGGAGACGGATCCGCAGGCTGGGGTGCGCAATGGCGGGTATGGCGATTTTGACGTGGGCGTGTTGAATGCGCGGGCGAGTACGGGGTTGGGGGGCGAGGATGTGTTGGAGAGGGTGAGGGGGGTGTTGGAGGAGTTGGCGAGGAGGAGTGGGGGAAATGAGGGGGTGGATGGGGTCAAGGACGAGCAGATGGTAGGGGTGGATGGGTGAAAGGGTGCAAGAGCACAGTACGCTTGCTTGTAGCAAGACGACGTCGAGATGACGAATCAAGGGACCTCTCCTCCATACTCGAGTGCGTAATCACACCGCTCCCAAGAGCTGGGTCGCTATGCTTTGCAGCAGCCATAGTAGGTGCTTCCATTGCACCCAAATCCAAGGCCGAATGCTGGTAAAGGGGGGGAAAAGATTACAGGGCAGTCTAGTTCTATGCAACTGCACACCAGGTGATGGGCATGGCATGAGCAACAAGTCGCCTGGGAAACAAAGGACATGCTGTGTTGACCTCGGGACGCTTATACCTTCTCCATGGACCCCTTCCCTCCCTCACAACACGACCGTCCGTCTCCTGAGAATGGTTGGACGTCAGATTCATGCAAGGAAACTCGCACACTGGACGGGGGTCGAAGGATGCGAAGAGGCGTCTAAGGTCACGCAAGAGTGGCACTGGGAGGTGCGAGAAGAACGCCAGTAGAGTACGCCTGTGTGTGTGTAGCGCTTGGACCTGTTTTTGGCTCTCGTTCTTGTCACACCTGCGCTTCGTCCCGGACCATCCTGCATACTGTATCCTCCCGACTTTCGGCACACACTAGCTTTTTCAAACACATGCACGAATTCCACTCAATCTCACTTAACCCAACGCCATTCAAACACCCTCACAACATCACAGTCACCACATAGAATCTCAAGACAAGACAGTCTAACGGCCGTTTAGAAGGTGGTATATTACGTGCTAGACTGTTACCGGCCGTTCGTATCTGGTAGTACATGTGAGAAAAAGCCCTGCCTAGCTAAGAGAACAACCCTAGAAAGATTACCACCCATCCCACTACTCATGAACCACCGTGTAAATATACTAAGCGAGCAGAGTTACTCTTGTAGACCTAACCGGGATGGATGATGTAAGAGCGTCCTATCATCATGCACCCTCGCCACGGCAGTTCGGCACCAGCATTTCAGGTAGCAGATGGCATCTCCACCACTTGAAACTATATTATATAAAGAGGGCGAACGCGACAGCAACAACAATGGCTGCAAACGAACTCTTGCCAACGCCGATGGCCTGGCCCATGTTGAAAGGAATATCGGTAGGGCTGGGAGTAGGCGCGACGATGGTGCCATTTGTGCCATTGGATGGCAGTGGGTATCTGCCGAGCAGAGTTAATGAAGATCTTGCAGATGATTAAAGAAGACTCTGAACTTACCCTGATCCAGATGGAAGAGCCGAAACGCTGGAAGGTCGGTCGGTAGAAACAGCATCCGTTTCAGTCGCGGTGTTGTTGCCTGGCTGACTGGCGGACGGCTTCGCGGTGATTATCGACGTCAACGTATGCGTCAGATAGCTTGTAATCCTAGTAGTGCTATAGACGTCGGAGGCGTCAGACCTGGCCGGAGGTGGCACCGCGTATTGTGAGCTGGCAGACATGGCAGGAGAAGATGTACCAGAGATGGTCCCCAAGGAACCTGATCGAGTACCTGTAGAATAGCCCGAGGAACCTCCAGGTGTGGATGTAGAAGCTGCCTCGGTGGGTGCGGCAGTGGAAGAGACAGGTCCTGTTGAAACGGTAGGAAGGGCAGAGTCAGAGCCCGAAGGCGCAGTAGGGTTACCAGAAGAGCTTGGGTGATCACCAGAGGGTACTCCCATTGTCCCAGATGCCGAAGAAGTGACTAGAGGGGACGTTGAGATGGCGTCGGTCTGAGTGTTCGGAGGAACGACTGAACTATCAGGTGGCATTGAGCCGGAGTTGGTGGAAGCTGTAGAGCTACCAGATATAAGCGAGTCTGACTCCGTGGGCGAGGCGTAGACTGAGCTTGAGGGGGTTGGTGCAATGGAAAGAGTGGCAGAGTCGGAGCCCGACAGATGCACCGAGCTCCCTGAGGGAATGCCAGCATAGCCACTTGAGGAGCTAGCTTGGCTAAGTACAGCTGAAGTCACTGTAAACGATGTGGCCGTCGCATCTGTGTTGGTGTTTAGCGAAGAAGATGGTATACCAACTGAGCCGGATGGCGACTGATATCCGCTGGAAAAGGTTGCTCCAGAAGTAGGGGGTGCATTGGTAGCAGAATCCATGGTCCCCATGACCTCAGTGGGAAGAGCACTTGTCTGTGGGGGAGCAGAGCCAGTGAAGGAGCTGGCGATGCCCATGGAGGAAGAGATAGGAACAGCATCAGTTAGCGATTTGGATGCATGCGAACTTGGGAGTATTAAGCTGAGTGAGAACCCAAGACCCGGCGGGGGGACTGAGGCAGTTGGAGTGTTGGACGCATCCGGACTGGGAAGCAACAAGCTCACTGAGATGCCAGAACCTGGTGGCAAGACTGGAGCCGTGGGAGAAGATGTCAGGAAGCTGGCGCTGGAGTCGAACGAGGCCGAAACGGTAGGCAGTGCTGTGCTTGCCGTCAGAGCAGAGGATCCAATCCCAGGAGGAAGGGCACCGGGAGGAGTGGAAGTGAGCGAGCAGATGGTAGTTGTGACGCTGACAACGACGGTTGAAGTCTGAGCCACCGTGGCGCTAGCAGGGCAGTTCACAGCATCCGATGCACACTCCGTGACGGTGTATGTTGACGTGGTGAGGATGACGGTAGTGGCAATGTCGCTGAGAGCACGCTCGACCTCTCCAAGCCTGTCAGCAATGGTGAAGGAGCCATGCCAGCGTGTAGACAAGCCATGGCACGAAGGCCAGGCGAGGTGGAAACAGAATGGCCCACTTACTCTGAGCTGCAGCAGGCAAGATAGCTGTCACAGTGCCTCCCACGAGGGCCGTGAGCTGGAAGACCTTCATGATGGGACGATTTGTGTGTGGGAACACGTCTGGCGGTGATGTGATGTCGAAGGACTGAGGAAGCTGAAAGGTGAGGGAAGACACAAAGGGGCCAGGCCAATGGCGAGCGAGAGTATGGAAAGAGAATGGGTAAACGAGTGTAGGATTGTGTTGATTTTGTTGTGTGCAGCGGGTTAGAAGATGAAAGGACTTTATTTGGGGAGAGAGGAGGGCAGCAGCCAAATGCAGAAAGGGAAGAGAGGAGACGATTGGGAATGGGAGGGGAGGGGAGGAAGGTTGGGGAAGGTGCGTACCCGGCCCATGACAAACAGACAGTTGGCGTGGGCGACGTCAAAGAACGGCAGGCACCCGACACGGCAGCACAGCACAGCACAGCACAGCACCCGAGCCCATTTCTGAATGTTGGCTCATCATGGCAGAGAAGCACGGCGTCCTCCCTTGGGTTCAACTCCCAGAGCCTCGTCCATCCATTTTCTGCAGTCTGTCTGGCTGGCAGTAAGAGAGAAAGAGAGAGAGAGACAAGCTGGGGTCTCCAGTTTGGCCATTGCAGCACGTGCCATGCCATTCACTGTGAAGCCGGGAAGAGATGAGCGGTGACACCGGCCTATCAGCACCGGTAGAGGGTGTACACCAGCGTGTCACAGAAGAGTAAACCATGGGAGATCCGGCTCAACTCGATCACAACGGCTCAACAGGCTAATTGCATTCGCGTGACGGCACTGATGCTGTTGTGGGCTCCCGAGGTTGTGTGTGTGTGTAGCTAGATATGTGTGTATATATGTGTGTGTATGTGTTGTTTGTGTGTGGGCGAGACGGTGACAGTCAGTGACAGTCAGTGACACCAATTGTGCTCCTTCTCCCCCCCCCCCCACCGCCGGGGGTACATAAACACAGCTACCACGCTCCTTCCCGTCCCGGACAGTCCTCCTCCTCCCCCTCTTTGCTTCTCGTTTGCAGTCCAGGGCCTTCTTGCGTCTTCTGCCCCCTTCTCTCCCCTTCCCACGCCTTCCTTCTCTACGCCGCCTTGTCACCTCTTTCCTGTTTCCCCAACGACTAGTCCCAGCAAATCTGCCATCTGCAAACAGAGACCTCCTTAGCACCACCATCAACACCACCACCACCACCACCACCACTACTACTACTACCACTACTACCACTACTACCACTACCACTACCACTACCACTACTACCACTACCACCTCCCCCCTCCTTGACCACCATCACCACCGCACTCTACCACCTCCTGCAGTTCCAGCTTCAACTCCAACATATTACCCCAGCCATAGCACATTCCCAGTCCCAACACATTACCGCTATCACCATGTTCGGATTCAAGTTGCTCGCAGTCGCTGCGCTCGTCTGTGCTGTCGCTGCCAACGAGAGTGAGTAAGCTCTGTGAGCAATGTTTGTCCACCTTGAAAACTAACCACTCTTTTTTTCTCCAGCCTGCGCTGCGCCCGTTACTGTCACCGTCACCGTCTCTGAGTGCGGCGGTCAGCCCGTCAACCCGGCTCCCACTCCTCCAGCTTCAGTCGCACCGCCTGCCCCTCCGGCTTCGTCGGTCGAGTCCACGGCAACTGCTCCACTGAGTGGTGAACCTGGGGTCCCGCACTCCACCGGCCCTGCCCCAGCTCCACCAGTTTCTGGTCCTCCTGCTGCTTCCCCTACGGAGGCACCAGTCGTTCCAGTCGTTCCCAGCTCGGGTGGTGCCCCAGGTGTCTCTGCTTCTGACGTCGTCACTTCTCCTGGCCATGGTCCCTCTTCTGCTGCTTCGCAAATGAGCACCACTGTTGTCCACACTTCTACCACTGCTGCTAATCTGCACCCATCTTCCAGTGGAGCTCCCGAGATCTCTACCGCCGGCGCTCCCCTGGCGACCCCCCTGGCCAACATGGGTTCGCTCCTGGTCGCAGGTGCTGCCGCTGCCATGGCTGTGATTGTCTAATTCCATACACTCTCGCTTTGTTCGCGTCACCTCAGGGTCGACGTGATGTTGCTGAGCTATGACCTGGCATCAACGGTACCGTTACCACTTGTCTTGTCGAGCTACTGTCGTTGAGCAAAGATCATGTCAGAGGGTACCATCTTTGAGTTTGGCGGCTTTCTAGGGAACGGGTTCCACCATGGACGAACAGCGCATCATGACTAGCATGCATGTAGCTCTTCCTCGATGTCTAATACAAATTGACTTGAAAGTGTCGCAAGCTCTTGCCTTGATGTGGATGTGATGCTTGAACCTGGATATAAGGACGACTGGACGACTTGAATATTGGTCGTTTGGTGATTGATGCTACCTTGAAAGCACAGGATCTGATAACGATATCGGCACTCCTCGTACGACTGAGTGCAAAAAGAAGGGAAAGAGGAAGGCAGTAAAAAACTGGAGACTCTTGAGGTAGATCCAGGACCCAGACCAGGGAAGACACAAATCCATGTAGACCCCACACACCAAAGGACAAGATAGAAAATGGACAAGCACCAAGTCAAGACACTGTACGCTATGCTTCACTACACTCCCCTACACTCCCCTACACTCCCCTACACTCCCCTACACTCCCCTACACTCCCCTACACTCCCTACACTCCCCTACACTCCCCTACACTCCACTGACCTGACCTGACCTGACCTGACCTGACTCTACCACGCCACGCTATACACTACACTACACTATACGCTATGCCATCATCACCACCACCACCTCCTCCCCACCACAACGCTACCCCGCCCGCCGAAACCGATTCCTCAACTCATCGATTTCGCGCTGAAAACGCTCCATGTCATCTAGAATATTCGCTGTTTCGGTGGCTGGGAGGGGGTGTGGGGTTATTTCTGGATTGGAAGTGGAGTTGGGATTGGGATTGGGATTGGGATTCGCATCAACGGCGACGGGGACGGCGACATGTACTCCTGCTGCATCCGTGTCTAGCGGATCCTCGCCTTGTTCAATGTCGTCGGTGCCCGTTTGGCGATGGGTTTTCCGGGTGTTGGGAGATGGGGGAAGTGGGAAGTGGGGGAATCCGGGGGGGTTGGGAGGGAGAGTGTAGTCACGGCTGGGACTGCAGCAACACTACCACCTTCACCACCAGCATTGCCCTCCTTCCTCTCATCAGCTGCATACGCAAATTCCCTCTGCACTTCCCTCTCACTCGCGCCACTCGTTCTCCGCCTCCCGCTGTCCAAACTCGAGCGATGGCATTCCCCGCTCGTCCGGCCCGACTCCACGGGCGACGATGTAGACGCCGGCAGCGGGCGCTGCTGCTCCATGCTGGACCGGTTTGACTGGCGGCGACGCGGCGGGGGCGGGGGTGGCGGTAGACTGGCTGTGCTTTCGCCCGAGACGGTGCGGGGCGTGGGGCGCGTGGAGGAGAGGGAGGAGGTGCGGTGGATGGGGTTGGTGGTTGGGGCGGTGGTTGGGGCGGTGGTGGAGGGGGGCCCCGAGGTGAAGTCTACGGTAATTCTGCGCGAGGCGGAAGAGAGGGGGATAGGGGGTGCTGTGCGGGTGGAGCTCGTGCGTTGGGGGAGTTCGCTGGTGGAGCAACCCAAACATGTTCTCTTGCGGAAAC